GGCCTTCTGGTACACGGTCTTTGGTTCCTGCATATGGGCACAGTACACCAATTTAATTCTCCAATCAAGTTTTTTGTTTGTTTTTTTTTATCCCTGCACTTTTTTCCTGTTACAAGGTGGGTTTTTTTGCTTTTGCTGCGGGTGTTTTTGGCTGTAGAGCACGGCTACTTGATGTATTAGTAGTCAGATAGAAGTTGCTCTAATGCACAGCTTCCTTTCTTCTCCTCCTAGCCCCGCAAGGATAACTGTCACCCTCACCAGCTGGTACTATCTAGATTAAAAATAGACATCAGCTGCACAATTGCAAATTTCTCCTGAGGATACCAACAGCAAGAGAGTAGACTACAATTCTTCGCATAGACAACTTCTAAAAACATTAGAAATGACGTCTCTCCCATCTTCTAAAGCTCTTAACACCACTCACTCTGGCCTCGCCCTCAGTATCTGTTTCCACCAACTCTTCAGGATAATCAGCTGCTTGCTACCAATTAGTCCTGATAAACTAGCAAGGATATAGCCCCACTAAATTGCTGGCAATAGCTGTAAGGATTTTAGCTGCTCAAAAGCAAATTATTAACCTCTGGCTCACCAGACTTTCAGTTGGACTAATTTTACTTTTCATGTTTAGATATTTGTAAGAGAGAGAATGTCAAAGCATTGAAGGTGTAAATTGCTGTGTTACCTGTAACAGCTGATGAAAAAGATGACCAGCTGGTAAAATCTTTTAGGAAAAAAAATCTATTCTCATTTCATAGAGAATTATTATACATTTAAAACACAAGAGATATTAAAACTACATTCTTTCTTCACTGCAGTATTTAAGTAGTAACAGGTTGGCTTTAAGCATGGAGGGTAACATTGAATGTCAGGTTCAGAGGTAAATCTCCAGTTCTTTTGCTAACTTTCTGGGTTACCTTGGGTAAAGAATTCTTGTGTTTCAAATGGGGGTTCTTTTTATTCCTCACTTTGTCTCTTATATCATAGACATTTTTAATATGGTTTTGGGGATTTTTTTTTAAGGTATATTTCATCTGTAAGATGGAAACTTAGTGGAGGGTGAGGTGTAGGTGCTATTTCAACAATACCAGAATGTTACTCACCATTTTATCCTCTAATGAAGCAAGGCTGTGCTTTCCCAGCAAGAGAAGAAATGCATCCCTCTAAATTTGAACTCCTGTGTTACAGAGATGAGACATTTGTATCATGTCATAGCTCCATGTGTAATTCATGTATGCTAAGGCTCATAGATGCTATTCTAACACAATAAAATTAAAATAGCTGAGAATAACACTATCCATTTTACTATGTTATAAAAAAGGACATAACAAAAAATCAAAATCAGAAACACAGAGGCAGACAAAGAAGGGAACCAGGAGCCAGGAGAATCTCCTCATGCCCTGTCATGAGGGGCTGTGCTCTTCATTCACGCTGATGTAAACCTGCACAGGCTGACCCATTAGTTCACAGAGATTCAAGGGACTGAAATTATTTTCTCCCATCCTGATCTTCCTGGAGCCAGAGTGCAGAGCCAGTGCTGTGCTCTCGTTAGACACTGTCAACTGCTGTTAATGAAAATTAGCTGGATGAGGGGTGAGGAAGCTGCTGCCCAGACTCTCTTGTTCAGCAGGGATTTCCAGTAAATCTTCCTGCCATACTGATCCTCAGCTGACTGGTAAGGTCTGGTTTGGGTCAACAGGACATAGATAAATTATTTTGATAGCAATATAGTTGAGCGGTCTCCTTTCAGCATCTTGAAATGGTCAGTGAGAAGATTCCTAGCTTTCCATCTTGGACCTATTTAAATAATCACCCTGTATGTTCTGTATATCTGCACGAGACCTGACACCTAGAGAAATTAGCATCAACCAGTATCCATATTTAAGGAAATAATTATCTATTCAAAACTCAAGCAACACAAGGGGAAACATAATTTTTCATGACTGCCTAATAATTTAAGAAAACAAACAATGAAATACAGCTTTTAAAATACATACTCCCTTACAATAATTTCATAAACTGTGCTGTCATCTCATAAAGAATCCGAATGGTTGCTGTGGTGACAAAGATTATCCTTGCTGCTGCTTGATTCTGTCATTTTTCTAAACATGAATTCGTAATATTTAGGATTTATTAACAATGTGTCACATTGATAGAGATGAATTACATGCTTTAAACTGGCCATGTAAGTCTTCTATGATATTACAACCACTTTGTCAACTCAGCAATAAGATATGATTACTACAAAATTAAAGCTATTTGTCATAAAAAGATGAAGCAGAGAGTATCAGAACTCTCATAAAACAACAACAAAAAATCTCCAATAATCTAATGTTTATCCTGATTTTAAATACTTTGAAATTAACAAATACTTACTATTTTCTGTTTCGTAAACTGATTCAGTTTAGCTTATATTAAGACTAGATTTATTTGTACTGGTAAAATTTGGGATGTAATGTGTCAGAATTGATGTGATCCAGGCTGCAGTTTTTTATGATGGTTCAGGCTGTAATGGGAATTTTGTGAAGATACCTTAATGATGGGACATTTTGCAGTGTGTAGAAGCCTTTTTGCACACACTTGTGTGTTAAGAAGATGTACTTCACTTCTAGGAATTTGTGTATATTTCTTTGTGATGTGTGGTATCCGAGTTGTAGTAGAAAATTAGATGAGATTCTCAATGTGTCTGTCTAAAAAGGTATCTTTTTGTGCAACTTACTGGAATATTTTTTTGAAGCAAGCTTCACTACCGAAACAGTGTGAGCCTGATTTAAATAACCAGCTTTAGAGCCATTGCTCCATATATATTTTCCAGTCAAACTAGCAGTAATGTCCCTAAATCAAAAATAATTTTAAAACTATTTTTTAAATAAATAAGGATTTATTCTTATTTTATAGTTATTTTTTTCAAGAAAAATAGGCCTCTTTTCTGTAATGAGACATGTAATACATAGTAGAAATGCAGCAGAGCTGAGGCATTTTAAAGCAAGCAAGGAATATGTGTCTGTGTGACTCTGCCTGAAGAATATGATTTATTCATATTCATCTCTGTATGTAGGGTGACCTCTTGAACTGGGTGAGATATGTCTCCACAGAATGTTGCAATGCAGAGGAAGTGACTCAGCTTTCTTTAAGTCCTCTGAGTCAGTGTTTGAAGGCAGTGGCATGGAAAACTGCTCAGATGCGCCCAGAATTAGGGAGCAATCTTCCATCTGTTACTGTCTTGCACCAATCCTACCATTTATGCCACCCAAACTAGAGAATGTAGCCATTTAAGCAAAACAAGTGGGAAAAGTTTGAAAATCCAGCAAGAGGATTCTCTCAGTTGATAAGATAAAATATCCTCCCATATTTGAAAGAAAAATAATCCAGGCTCAGCTGAAACACAGTAAATCAGTAGAGTATATTTCTTTCTATTCTCGCCCTTTGAGGTTTATAGAACTATAAATGAACTGCCAGCCAGGCTGAAAAGAGCAAGATGAGAACTGAATAAAAACTTCTTTTAGCCTAATGACATCATATAATTAGCTTAGTTATGTTTCCATACATTAGTGGTTAACAGTGTTGTATTTTACCCTTTGTTACTCTTTATCTGAGTGAAAAAATATTCTCTCTATCTGAAGATAACATGGCCTGATGCCATAGAATAGCTATGTTTTTGCAAACCACACAAAATAAATTATTTCAGATGCCAAATACTCTACAATAAAAACATTCTGCATTATTTTCAAGGACTTATGTAAATATCTGGAGAGGGAAAATTGCATTTCTTACTGGATTTCTTTGGCAATGTGTATCCTGAGAAAATTACTAAGGTTGTAAGTGAAATATTTCAGTTGTCTTCAATAAGAATTTGAGTAGCTTCTTAGACTTGAGATGTAATATGCACACCTTTTCCTCTGTAGGATTAATTTTGGGGTCAGTGTTCTTGCTATTTAGACCCTGCAGACCACGCTGAACACAAGAAGCCATCTCCCACAGAGTATAGTGAGATTTGCATTTGCTTTTGTTGAAAACAAATTTCATACAGTATTTTAGAGCGGTTTCCTATTGCAGGAAATATGTGCACAATATGATAACCCAGGCACTCTGTATAGTCTTAATGACTTTATTGCACAGCTAAAATAAATGCTCTTTAAATTTCTTCAACTGTGTGCAAGGACAGCTAAGCACATTTTGATTTAATTCTAGTTTGTTTTTTCGAAAATTCAGCATTTTACCATTTTTTCTATATTATCCTGGTTTTGACAAAATAAGGACAGTAGGAAAAAGATTTATATGGAGGTATATAGCAGTAATTTAATATCAATATTACAGCTGAAAAGTTTTGTTCAAAAGTAATGGCATAACAAAGGAAGATAAATACTGCACACCTTCTACCTCCAAGAAAACAGTTCTCAGATTTTGGTGTACAGCATGATCAAAATTAGTCATTCTCTGGGACAACAATCCCTAACCTGGGAAGTTTTTATCTCTGCAGTTTGTATAGACCATTGAGTCTACCTTTTATTGTGTGTTGGAGATACCAATTCAATATGTGAGCTTTAAAAATTTTAGAAAATGTAGTGAAAATAACATTTTTTCCTTCCAAAGGTAATTTGGAAAACATAAAATATTAGTCTTGATAAACAGCTCAAGATAAATACAAAAAATGTTTAGCAAATAATGTTTTTCTGAATCATGACCAACACGTGTTACTGTATAGCTATTATAGATCAGCTAAAGCTATTAGTGACTTTAAAGGTAGTTGTGTGGCTCAAAAACAGAATACTTATTAAAGACGCTTAATGTTGTGATTCTTATCCATATATATTGCCTATGTATGTATATAAAATTGAAATATATTGTATATAACTCTGACAATGCAGGTGATAAAGCCATGGTGCAGCCATAATATCTTAAGCACTTTTAAATTATTTATTTTTAATATGAGAATGCATCTGATATTTTTGTGTGCTAAAATTATTTTAATATTGACAAACCTGCGTTGCATTTTTTTTCAGAAATTCAAAAACAGAAAATGGAGAGACCTGAAAAGCGAACACCAGCGAAGGGTAACTGGTTTTTTTTTCTCTGTTTGCCCACATATACTTGTGTAACATACAGTGTCTTTGTTAACTGCTTAATTTTTGTTTGTTAGCTTGGTTAACTTGTTCCTGTTGTATCAGAGAAGCATTCAAAGATCAGCTGGCACAGACTGCAAATGATCAAAAATTCATGTATACCTTAGCATTAACAGAAAAATATAATTTTATGCTTGTGTAGTTAGATTGAAAATGCACATTCATAATAAGATTCTCCTGCCCAAACTTTTCCAGAAATCTTTTTTCTAGCAAGGTGCAAGAAAGTTGAGTGTTGATGAACTTCCTCTGGTGCAAAAGGCATGAAGTGTGTTGGGCAAGGAAAAAAGCAAATTTATAGGTCAGTGGGTGCCATCCAAGTTAGGAAGTCATAGCTAAGAGTGAGCCAGGTGTGTATCAGAGATAAGAAAAACTTCCATTTTAAGAACCTGCTCTTTTTCACACTGTTTAATCTCCTATAACTGGCGCTTTCCAAAAATGCACAGAGGAACTGGTTTGGACTGGTTTTCAGAGGTCATATAAACAAAGGTGTTTTCTGGGATATCTGGAGAGGCTTTTTGCCTAACAGAGCCCCTCCATAAAGGCTAGGCCACATAAAACTTCAGGAGCATCCTTCTAACCCACTGGTGCTCAGCTTGGTAGTGGCAGGAGGAAGCAAGAAGGAGGCTTATTAAAAATATTGTGTGTACACATACACCATCCCTCCTGCAATTATATTCATTCCCATATGTATTCTTAGTGTGGTTTTATAGTATTTTACACCTCTGTAAAATGTATTTATAGTATTTTTCAGCTCCAATTCTGTGTTAATCAGGGTCATCTGGACTGCCTAGAACTGTTTCCCAACTACTTAATAAGTCATGTTTTATCAAAATGAATTTCTTACAGTACCAGTGGGCAAGCCAGGCAGTAATGAACTCAGATCCATTAGCAAGGATCCCAGTTAAGGTGTTTTCAAACAAAGTAATCTAAAACCACAAATAATGCTGCAATCTTGACCAAAACAGCCTCTTGTGTACCATTTCATCTATATGAAAGTGCATTTCTTTACACAAAACAATATTAACATTCAGAAATTATTACAAAGAAATTACAAGATGCCAGGGAAAAAAAGTGTTCAGGTGTCATTAGTCAAGTCCCATTATTTATGTACCTGATAATGAAGTCTCCAGTTATACAATCAGTTTCTGCAGCACAAAACAATTTTTTTTCCCTAGATTTTGTTTTTTTGTTTAATATCAGCAATTCAGCTTGTACATAGGAGGAACAATGATGAGAAAACATCCTATCTGGCCTCTGTCTACAGTGTGAAAAAGGCATGAATCCTTACGGAATTTTACTGTTACCTTCTAAAGTCCTTTCAGGAAATGTGTACAAATACAGTCTTTTATTGTTTTTAACAGAAAAAAAATCCAGAAGTAAAATGATTGCTTTTAATAGCAGGAAGTACAAAAACCATTTCTGTCTTCTGCCCAACATGTGGGAACACTAGAGTTTTAAAAGTAATTTAATTGTATTTTTTGAATAGTCAAATCCTCTGAGTAAAAATGCCAATTTACAAGGGAGTTCAAGCTATAAGCCTCATTTTTAAAAGACTGAAGTGAAATATGAGGAATGGTTGCAACGAATAAAAATCCCAGATGGAAGTGACTGAAATTAAAAGATTCAAACAGTATTGAGAGCCAAGCAAACCGGTGCCCTAAAATTTGCTTTTAATTAAATATTTTGATAAACTACTAGCAATAATGTCTATTTCAATTATAGTAACAAATTTAATCCTGTAAAGAAGAAATACTCTGAGAAATAATTTCACAAAGCCATTTGTCATGCTTAAGAGCCCTGAAATCAAATTATTTCATGATAACGTGTACACATAAGTTCACTACGAATTAGGGTCTTTCCAATTTGGTATTTGAGGTATTAGTAATTTCACAAGTGCAGTTGCACCTGGACTGCATGACCAGGAGCTTGATCTGCCAGCAGAGGCGCAAGGGATTGATTATCTTCCTGTATACAACTCTCCTGAGCATCTAGATATTGTGTTCTAGATAGGTTTTGCAGGACTGAGCTGCTGCTGGAGTCTGTTTAAGAAATAGGTTATTGTATTGCAGGGATTTTCATGGCAGGGAGGAATGATGCATCTGACTTCATGTTCTTAGAAGGTCAATTTATTATTTTATGATTTTATGATACTATATTATATTATATTAAAGAATACTAAACTATAATATACTAAGAAATACAGAAAAGATACTTACAGAATGTTAAAAAATAATAATGAAAACTCGTCACTCTTTCCAGTCTCATCATAGCTTGGCACTGATTGGCCAATGAGTCAAAATAACTCACACCAGAAACCAAATCACCAGAAACAATCACTTGTGGGTAAACAATTTCTAAACACATTCTACATAAGCAAAACAGAGAAGAAGCAAATGAGATAAGAATTGTTTTCCTTTTTATTTGAGGCTTCTCAGCTTCCCAGGAGAAAAATCCTGGGCGAAGGAATTTTTCAGAAAATGTAAATGCCACAAAGGTGATATAATTGTTATTACTACCAATAACAAGAGTTAATTACACATTGTTTGGCAGAAAGTGAGAGTAACAGTAAAAAATATTTAGATAAATTTAAAAAATATTGAGATAAATATGTAAGTACAGAATTTCTGTCTAATGGAAGGTCCAGTGGCAATTTCTGATTTTGAGGGAAAACTGATCTCTTACCAGTGAAATAAATTGCCCTGCATTTCTGGGAAATAGCTCTAATTAAAACAGGCATTGAGAAGGAATAGGAAAACATTTATTTACTGTGTGACTTTTCCCAAAATCACTTCACTAATACATTTCTGTCGGGGTGAGGTACGGAAGAAAACATTGTAATGATGGTTAATTTGCTGTAGCTGGAAGAAAAAGTATTTGAGAGGTAAATATACAAATAGAGCTAGACCATACAAATCCTAGTATTCTAGAAACCCACATAGTTTCACTAAGTTAATAAACTAAAAAGCATATTTTGTACTCAGACAAATCTGTCTGGCCTGATTTCTCAAGGTACAGCTACAACTATGTCTGCATTAACTTTAAACTGGAGAACATGGTACAGATGGCAACATAGCCGTAGTTTCCTTAAATTATGTATTTGGACCTGGGAGTTTGTGCCTCTCTCCAGACCAACCTCTTTTTTTTCAGTGTTCCTTCAGGAAGAATTAAGTTGTAGCCATCTAAAGTTGCTTTGCTTCCAAATGAAAGCATCTAGGCAGAGATTTAACGCTCTCTGACTAATGCACTCTAACTTCATTGTATTAGTTCATTTATCTTAACTTTCCTGAGAGTGCTGCTCTGTAGACAAGCACTTAGTCTGTTAGCTGGAGCAAGCAATCTCTGCTTCATGCTTACTGCACTCATCACCTGGCTTTGTACTAAGCAGCAGACTTAAGACTTACTCAGCTGGAAACTATTTTTGCTTCTCTTAGGTATGGAACCAGGGCCTTATTACACCTCTTCTTTTCACACTTTCTGTTTTGGAAGGTGGAATGTCTTTGTTGGAGAACTTTATCCAAGAAAAAACTAAATCATATCCCACTTCACTATGTCTTCAATTTGATGCAAATAAAATCTGAGATGATGAATGAAATTAGGAAAATCCTTTCACATATAAGTGACGCTTCTTATTTTTATTTTTCTGTGAAGTAGATAGCAATATTAAGTTTGTAATACATTGTTAAATTACCTTAGAATTTTCCATTATAAGCTTCTATTTTAGATTATTTATAAATTTATCACACTCTCGTCACTTAGCATGAGATTTCCCATGTTCATCTTTTTGCCTCAGGCTGAATTTTTATTCAAAGACATGCAAAAATGTTTCAGCAATTTCCAAAATCTAGGTTAGTGAAAATTAGGTTGGGACATTATATTTTTTCCAATGTTAATAACACTTCAGTCTGAGCTTATGACTTTTTGGCATTTGCAAGGAAGCCCAAGAAAATTTCTTTTAATTTGTGGAAAAATTTTATCTTCCATAATTGCCATAAATCTACTTGATTTTAAGTCTAGTTGTTATTTTTTCTAACGGATGTCACCAGCATCCTAGTAGCAAAAGCAATAAAAGAAGTGATCATTTAACTACAAATTGTGTCATAAAGCTAATAAAATGGTTGAATTCAAGTTGAATGAACAGTTTTTGTTTCAGCATTTTTCAGCTGAAGAGTGAGTAAGTAGCCTTAAAAACATTTTTGTACGTTTGTGCTCTTTTTCCCTATTTTTTTTTTTTTAATGGAATATAAAATCCAATCAACTCCAATCTTTTCTTACAGAAACATGGCAATATGGCCAGCCTGGCTAATTCCGAAATGGAATGATTGCAGCTAGAATTTTAAGCTTGAGAAAGAGCGTGTATTAAGCCCTTGACAAAGAAAAATATACCCAAGTGATAAAATATGGAAACTATCTGTAGACAGTGATGTATTTTCTGTGACAGACCTTTCATAACTACATATGAATTTGAACATGAAAATATTTTGGGGGAGAGTTAACATGCTAAGAAATACCAGATTTAAATTTGTGAGAACAAAAGCTTCAGTGGATTTTGTTGGTCTTGTGACTGGAGTCAAAAATGGCCAATGATCACAGCCCTGAAACATGAACACTTTAATTTTTGGCAGCACCTGCCCTTCCCAAATTAGGGAAGCCATAGCTCTGACAGTGCCCATAAGAGGCAATGATAAACATTACAATCTGAGATTAGCAACCTCTGAGGCTATGGGGATATCAACACACAGGATAAGGCTCTCAAACTAACCAGAGATCACCTTCAGCCTATAATTGGGAAGAGAAAAATAGCTTATGCTTATGCCAGCCTGGTCTCTGCTTATCCACATTCCAGGCTCCCTGCCCAGACACATCAAGTTACTTTTCTTTCTCCAGAAAGGGCCAACTGATCACTTCTTCATGTTTTAAACTGTAGTCCACAAAAATATTAATATTTCCCTGCATTTTTTCTGTTTGCATCATTTTGAGGATGTGAAACAAATTTAAATTAGATTTTTCTGCTCACTTTCAGGTCTACTGACATTCAACCCAGTTAGTGTTGTTCAAGGCTCATTTTATGGGTTTGCTGAGTGGGTATGGGGATTTTTTTTATTTCTTTTAGGTTCTTTGGTTTGTTTTCCTGTTGTTGTGTGTTTGTTTGTTTTTTTTTTTTCCTCAAATCATGAAATAAGGAAATGCTATGGAAAAACTACAACAAATTTTTAAATACCCACAACGATCTCTCTTACACCAGTAAGATGCCCTGTGAATAAAAACAAGCTTTCTGATTATCAATCTGTTCTGCATAGTTCAGCTGTATTTTTTGGCATAGAGACTACAAGAGCTTTTGTCTGAATGTGCAGAAGCTCAGGTTTCACTCACACTGACCATCACAGAGCCATTGTTTGCGAAACTCTGCTGTTGGTCCTGCCAAAACTGACAAAAGTGTTTAGGATAGAGCCAGCATCTGCTAATACAAATGCAAGATGTAAAAACATGCTACAATTTCTGCAAAAATACTCAGTTTGGAGAATGTTTTTTTCTTGGTATGCTCCTAGATCTGCTAAATCATTTGAATGAGTTGCAGTCTATAATTCATTCAATAATACATTGCCGGTGCTGCTTTTTTCTTCACAGCCTGTTTTTTAGTGTAAATCTGCTGTCCACATTCTTTAAAGGCTTTGAAGTATCTCTCTTCAATCTTTTTCAACTGTAGTGCTGTTTGTTATCACAATAATTTACTTGTTATGACTGAAAATGAATTTTGGATAATCCAAACACACATAAGACATAACGAATTTACTGAATGTTCTGAATGATTTTTCTTAATGACTGCAACATGCTTTTTAATGTGGAAACACTCAGCCAGCAAAAAAATGCTTGCACAATTGTGAAGTGGCATTCTCTGCAAAGCTGGTTAAATGAATGGACACAAAAGCATAATGTGCTTGTTTATAAAGCTCACTGTCTTCTAATCAGAATTTGTTTTACTTTTTCCCAGAAACCTGGGTACAAAAAAGAAAATTATATTTCCTTGAAATTATGAAATGCTACTCTTTTAGAAGTATGGATTTATTAAGAATAAAATCATTAGTATGTGGGATTGAACCACTTCAAAAGATGGTCTGAGACCTAGGTGGACAAGAGAGTCTATAAGGACTCGTGTTTGCCCGCCTCTTGCCGGACATGGAGACGGCTGTGTTTTGAACAGCTGCTCTTCCTGAGGTTACACTCTGATTAAAAGAGATGTTTTCTTGTTAATCCATCCTGTGACGGAAGTGACAGCTAAAAATAAAGAAAAAAATAGCATAGAAAGCAATATGCTGGCCATTTTTTTGTTAAGAATAGAAAGCAATGCTGTCAAGGGCTGAAAATAAATTCCTCTGTCAGAAATCTGCGAGTTAGGGTGGTTGTGTAATGGGACCAAAAGAGAAAGGACAGATTAGATTGAGGTTGCTGAATAATCACTTCTTTCAGAAAAATATAGTCTGATATCTGAAGATTTATTCAAGGAAAATATTTCTCTTGGACCTAGAATTAAATGTTGACAATCAGAAGGTCTATACATCATCAAGTACCTGTGACTCAGAGCTAAAATCCATTATTTGGGTTTATGAATGCTTTTCCTTTATCACTTTCATGAGATAATAAGTGTGCTTAACACATTTAGATTACATATTTATTGTGAGCTGGGGTTTATTTATTTGTTTATTATTTGTAACAGCACACAGAGACAAACCTGAAAAACAAGAAAAAATTGAGAGGAAGGAACCCCCAAAAGGTATGTATTCAACTTTTCATATTCCTTGTCTTTTTATCAATGATTCAAAATAGTCTAATCTATGACTCTTAGACTGTTCTTGTAGATCCCAATAATATTTAAGGGCGGAGGAGGTGTTGTGAAAGACAACTGGAAGGAGAATGAGGTTTTTAAAAACAATTTGAATTCATCACTGTACAGAAAACTGAAATTACATTCATATATTAATTATTAAGTCTTTACTAGTAAGTTATGTAAAAAGTACCTAGAGCACAAATTGGTGTCCTTTATATTCTTCTTGAATAAATCCAAGAATATTATTTGCCCTTGAGAATATTTTGCACCAAAATGTAACTAGTAAATTATAACATAATGGAAATGGTCCATGTAGACATTCTGCTTTGGAAATCTTCTTAAAATAGAGACAAAAAGGAAAAAAAAAAAAAACAAAGAAAAAAAGGACAAAATAATTCCTCCAGATTAATTTCAGAGACACTGTGGAGAGATTTTAGAGAGAATTTAATGATTTCCTGGTGGTGTATGCCAACAAGAAATTATATCTGTTGTAGGAGTCAGAATCGGGATACTGCTGACTCTCCACCCACAACTCATGAGTTAGCTCTGGGTTACAATAGCCACCATCTAGTTTACTTTTTGTGAGGATACTTTAGCAAAATGGAATTTTGGTGGAGTGCACATACTTATCAAAACACTGAATTCTTCTGAGAATATGTCCTTTGCACTAACTTATGGCTAATGAAATCTTGGGCTGGAGGAAGAAAAATATTCTGGAAGAACAAACAGGCCAATGATCATAATAAATTACCAAAAAAAGGAAAGGGAAGACCAAATATCCAGCCACAGCAGACTTATTCAGGCCAAGAACTCAAGTGAAGGTGAACCTCCTGAAAGCTGTGTTTGACAATGCCTTTCTAACAGTCTCTGATTGGAGCTTTTCCATTTCATATAAGCAATTCAAAGTGCTTTGAGCTAACAAGACTGATTTTAGAAGTTAATGGCAGGCATATAAATTAAGGTGTCTCTTAGAATGAATATTAGTAGAAAATAGAACGGTGATAACATGGGAAATTTTTTCTGGGGTTTGGAAAAATGACAAAGCAAAAGCAATAATGTCCCATATTAAAACATTAATTTATCTTTAAGACTTCTGTTATAATGTGGAAAACCTGTGGAACTCTTCAACTTGATTTCACAGGAGAACAATATTTAAGTTTCTTAGAACAAGAAAAAGACAAGAAAAATATTATCCCAGCCAAACTCAGATAGCCAGTGGAAAAAAAAAATTACAATTATACTGCCTTAGCTTGCCATAAATCCTATTAATATTCTGTCTACCTAGTGGTATTTTTTCTTGAAGTGAACTATTAGTTTTATTTAGTGAACTATTGCCAAAACTGCTACGGAAACACTACTGTGTATAGAGATTCCCTGTACTCACAGTGCTAATAAACATTATTTTCAGGCTGTACATTAAATTTCAAAACTAAAACTATGAATGTGTGCCTTTCTAAGGTCCATTTCATTATACTGTGACTGGGAGACTGTAGAGACTGCATCCCTGTATTTTTGCTGCTTATTTTCTACATTAAATACATTGCCTTTTCAAGATCGAGATAATGGAGGGTATAAATAGCATCCTATTCTAATCTATAATCAACTTCTGGGATGAACTTTAAGAAAGTTATTTAATGACACAGACAGTAATTAGAAGTGTCTCAGTCACTTAGCAGTGTCTCAGTCAGAGATGTCAGCCACATTCTCAAGTATTTTATCACTATACTGCTTAAAAATGTGGAAGCCTGAATATTGCCAACCACTCTTCTTTTGCATCCAGTTACATATGGAATTCATGGTACTGTAAAAGAAGTTTCTTATCTCCTCGTGTTAGACAAAAGGAGTTTTACTAAACTTGGATGAAATCTGCACAGGAGTTAGACTTAAGCTAAGCTTGCATTTTCGCAGCTGTTCTTTCAGAAGTGCTCTAAAACCCACATGATTATTTTTCATTTTCTGGAATATTATGGTGTAAAATCCTAAGAAAAGTGAGTGGAAAATGTTCTGTGAATGAGTGGGTAGCATAATGCAGTTTCCACTGTCATCATGTTAGTTTTACTTTGCACATACTGGATATCTAATTATGGTTCTGGGATCGTCATTGCCAGGGACTGATCTCAGCTGGTGTCCATGACTAGCTATCTGTATCCATTACTAACCATCCATATCCATTACTGGTTATCCATTTCAAGCCAGCTGGCAAGTCACAGATGTATCATTTGCACATGTGATTCTCTTCTGCTTTGAGATTGATTCCAGGGTTTTTACAACCTATGTCTGACAGAGTATGGGGTGGCCAAGGTGAAGTCCTCTTCCTATCACGGGCAGCAGCATTTACTGTGAGCTGTGCCTTAGTAACTGACAGTTTTCTGGAATTCTTCTGGAACTGACAGACAATTGCAAGAGATGATATTATGAAGAAAACAGCTGAGGCATGTTACCATGGCAGTAACTCGTTAGCCAGAGCTGGCTGCTCTCACCCCTGCAGTATGATGTACACTGTAAAAATATGCACGGGGCAGCTCAGCAGTAGCACACTCTGCCACTTAGTATCCTAAGGCTTATCTTGGTGAAAATGTTTTAAATTCTTAATTTTTCCCACTTTTTTTTTCTTTTTCTTTTTATATATATATATATATATATATATATATATATATAACTCTTTCTTTCTTAGTGACAAGTAAAGACAAACTGGAAAGGCAAGAAAAACCTGAAAAAAAGGAAAGGCATGCAGGTAATTATTTATTTTACATTAGAAGGTACCCTAAAGCTAATTCTCTATTCAATTTCCACTTATGTATCCCTTTGAATTGAGAAAAAAAGTTATAAAATATTATGAATAAAAAGAATGAAATAATAAAAAAGTTTGCAGTCTTACACACTAAGTAGCATTTAATATTCCTTCTGCATGTTTTTTGTTGTTTTGGGGTCTCTGGGGAAGGAGATAATATATTTTGTACTCTGGATTAGTGTAATCTTATGATAATCACTGAGTATTTCCAACACTTGCAATAAGAATGGTTGCTAAGAGACTATGGTCATCCAAGAAAAAGGCACCTGACAGTCCTTTCACAGAGGTAATCAGGAAGGCCATGTGGAAAAAAAAGCATTTTAAATAAAATACTGCATAGGGCCATTGCATAGCCACTGAGTAGGCCAGGACCAGTTCTTTCAGTAGTTACTTGCAGTAAATAACTATCTAGCACTGTTTTATCTTCCCCAAGTCTTTTAATACCAGCTCCATGCTCGTGCATACATTTTTGTGTTCCTAGGATAATCTCACACACTGTACTCAAATAGGGAACTGCGTGTTTTCCCACACATGATCCCTGTAGATCACCTGAGGGCACATCAGCCCATGCATACCCCAGTTCTTCACATCCAAGTGTGATGTGCACACTTTAATCCCAAAAATTTAGCCAATCAGAACCCACAGAGGAGAATGTTTCAGATTACCCACTACTCAATAACTACCGCACCACTCGGGTGTATTCTGAAACCTGAGCCAGAAATCTAGGAACTACAGAGCAGTTAATTTCAATTTGTAAGGTGGAAATTAAAAGCAAACAAAAAGCCCCCAAAGAACATTAGTTATAATGTCACTGCAATTAGGTTTGTAATTAATTATAGTGCTTAATCATTCATAGCTGGAAAAACTGTTAGTTGTTCTGTGGAGTTCAGAAAATCCTTCAGGAACTAACCAAAGTACTAAACAAGAAAGCTAAAAAAATAACCATAAACCAAAATAAAGCAATAAATTACAGGATATAAATATATTAAAGAAATAAAAAAACCCCAATATACATAAGTATGACTCTTCTTGACTATCTTCTTTCGTGGGATTACTGGCCCTAGAAAGGCTGCTGCTCCTCCAGCCAATGGCAAAGACCACAGTGACGCCAGATGAGTTTTTGAAAGTTCCAATTCCATGTTTTGGCATCAACAACAAACAGCAGCAGCTGAATCAATCTGTCTCATTCTTTGCATGCATGACCATGGTGCCTACTTGTGTTTCTTGACCCTTTTTCTCATTCAAATGCAACTTTTTTTTTTTTTAATGACCATTAAGATTATTGGTTTTATTTCTAGCTGTTCACAAAGAGAAACCTGAAAAGCCAGAAAAACAAGAAAAGAAAGTGCTACCTAAAGGTATGGAGGATCATTATTAAAAGTTGTACAGTTTCAGTGCTTGACATCCTGGGAGAGTGTGGAGATAAGTATTTAAAGTACAAAGCTCTTCTAGTTCATGTTGAACACTTTCTGGGTGTTGTCTCTTTTGCTTGAGCAGGTCTTGATCAGCCCTAATGAAGTCTTGCTCAGCATATTTTTTTTTTTTTGCTTTGCTCTCCTGTTTCGATGCACAGAGTTTATTGCAAATCATTCTTACACAGCTAAAGTACAAAACATATGCTATTTTCTTTGCATACCATGATGTCTTTTTCTCCACAAAGGGATTCAGTAATTTGCCTGCAAATAAGGTTTTCTCTTGTGTATTAGTTTTCAACCTGATGCAGACCTAATGCAAGAGTATTTACTATCCCTCAATCTGGGTCTTCCATCATACCCAAAAATAGAATTTCACTTTCTTGCCTTTATTTTTTTCAATAATATTTTAATTTCAGTATATGATTTGCACAGTCTTCTATGGAAGCAGTGGCTTTGGTTGAGATTTACATATCTAATAATTATCATATATATTCTGAAGCAATATCATGGGTGTGTGAGGGGTGATTTTCACTATTCTTTTGACTGATAATTCCATCTTTGGTTATGGTTTGGACAGGGAAATTTAAAAATCCAATCACCTTCCCCTATTATGCCATTTTTTAAAGACTAACATTTATTATTGCTTGGCATTTGAATGTTTTCCTCTGAGGTTAGATATTTCTCCATACATTCAGACAACATGGATACAAATATACAAATTGCCCTTTTTTTTGAGTTGGCCATAGGAGAAATGCAAAACAGAAAGTAAAAGTGGAGGAAAAAAGAAAGAAAGGAAGCAGAATAAAGACTTAAAGCCTTAAAGCCCTTTGAAGGGTAGCCATTGTCCAGTTTCCCTTTTACAGGGATATTGTTCATTTTTTTCTACTTTCAGTGGATAGCTTAAAAGTGTGGGAATTTTTTTCATAAAATGAAATCATGCTGAAGTAAGCCTGAGAAAATAAATGCCCATAGTGTCTGTGTTGATTTGAAAAGCAAATAACTTCCAAGAATCACTGAGATAGTCCTAATAAGCAGCCAGCCACTTTACCCATTTATCTTCTGCTAGCTAACCAAATAATCACTCAGAGCCTTAATGTGTTTAATAACAGCCATGACTCCAGTCACTGGCTGGAAAATTTTATGAAGAATTTGGACACTGTAGCTGCAGAGCTTTGTGGCTGCAGTGTGACATAGCCATGCTGCCCTCTCTTGGGTTGTTTCCCTGCCGTGAACCCCCGTGGCATCAGGGCATGAGGACAGTTTTCCTCAGCATGTCCAAAGGTGCATTTTTGCCAGCACTGTGTTGATGAGCTTTCCATTGCCAGGCCCACCTCCCTTTTCTCAGGGGTCTGCTCTAAACTGGATTAGCTACCAGCAGTGCTGAGGGGCTGCTTCAACCACTTGCAGTCCCTAGGAAATGAAACTGTTCAGATTCTGGCCAGCTCTGGGGAATGGACATACTGAAAACTGTGTGGCTACTTCCCACACAGTCAGCAGGTTTTCTTCATGCTCATTACAAAGACTCAAGGTAATTCTTCAGACTCTGATAAAAGCTCCAGAAAGCCTCAGTGATATGAGTGTTTTTTAAACACATCATCTAAAAACATCTTAAAAAAATAAAACCAAGTCTAAATATCAATCATGTCTCATACAGGCTGGAATTCCAGGATGGAATTCTGTTAGAGAGGATTGCCATTATGTAGTTATCAGTTGAAAGAAGCATAATTAACTCTCAAGGCTGGTTTGTTCTGGTATTCTGTCTGGATGGTGACCAGGAGGGCAAAGATAGAGGTCTGCATAAAATTTTGGCAGCCTTTCTGGAACACAGTCGTGTGTGTGCGTGTGTTTACACAGTGTATCTTATGCAGACATGAACTCACTCAAGCTGAGCTCTGAAGTGAACACCAGACTTATGGCTGTGTTTGTCGACAATGAGCCCAAGCTAAGAAAAACACCTTTGTGTAAGACAAATGCAGCCACATGCTTCCTGTTGGCTGTAGCACAAGGCCAAGTCCGTGTCTGCTCAGCACTTGACATGAGCAAGTTTGTTTCGTCTGGAATATGCAGTAAAAACGTTCCCTAGGAATCTTCAGGTCTGTGTGACTCACTTGTCTTCTGGTAAGGGAACCTCAACAGATATTTTGAAGTTTTTTAACCCACTGTAAGAATCTGAAAACAATTTTGAAAACTGAAAAAGAGGAACCATAAGGAAATGTGAAATTTCCAGTGATGATGTTGTGTTTTGGCAATATTTTCTTGTTCTTTGTGAGATTTTGTTGTTCTCATTTCTAGTAACTCAAAAAGATGCACCTGAAAGACATGAAAAAGCTGAAAAGAAACCTCCTCCAAAAGGTATTTATTTATCTATACTACAGTTTTTTAAGCTGAATTGACATTGAAATGCATAAACTTTATTTTATTCAAGCAGAGATTGCAAATGTATGTGAGAAATCAACTACATTAAACTAAAATGAAATTAATATATAATTAGAATTAAAATGTCTGTAGAATATCTAGGGGTTAATTCTATGCTTGATCCTTTTCAAAATCTGTTGCAATTTCAAATTGAGAATAAAAGTATGAACCACCATTTCACTGAAAAACAACTAAGCCTACCTGCAAGTGATCTGGCATACATTTTCACTATAACTAATTCAGGAAATCAATTCTCCATTAGCCAGCAATACCTGGTTTTGTCTGGGAGCAGTAATGCTCTTATATAAATGTCTGAATTCTGGTTTGCAATAGCTAGATATTCCAGTTTACACACTGATAAAATCAGTTTAGTTATCTCAGTGATTTAACAGAAATAGAATTCTAGAGCCTTACAGAAAACATAAATTTGGTAGCATACAAGTTTTGCCTCAAAGATGGAGACATTTAGATCTGTGAAGAAAACAGGAGTATGAACTTTGCACAAAACAGGTTAATTTAAAACATATCCAGTGGTAGTATATACTACTATTGGATTTTCCACTGGGGTGAACTAGAGACACACATAGTGGGAGCATGCATGTCTCTGGTGAAAAAAAGTTGCTGACACAGAAAAGCAGAAAGAATGCTTTGGGTCTCACCAAGTTCTGTGTAGCTTCAGGTACTGATATTTACAGTATCAATGGTAATTCTCCTTAGAGGCCTCCTCACTCTTCTGAAGGGCATCTCATGGATTGGTCTCAGACACTTTCAGCCCCAAGAACTGGTGTAGAGTCAGACTCAAAAACTCAAAACTTCTTGGACTGAGATCTAGAATCAATTCATGAAAGTAATCCTTTAAAATAACCACACACTATTTTTCCAGTCTACAACAGAGTTTAGATCTGAAGTCTAAACTTGTACAGATATTTGTTTGCTCCATATTTGTTTGCTTAATGACCGACATCTTTCTCCCTAGTTTATACCATTAAACCTATCATGTTAGGAACACTTAATATTATTTGGTATATCCTGTTATATTTAGCATCAGCCAAGTTCGTGGTATAGCACTGAAGATAAAACCTCTTTGGATCTCATATTTCTGTTTAATTCTGCCTAGTTTGAGGGGATTATAGTTTTCATCAGATCTTACCAAGCTGTTAATAATGAAGAAATGCTCATTATTAATAGTGCAGTATAAAGTAAATGGCACTGAGTGTTATGTTGGGGGCAGAGAATGACACTGAAATCTTATTCTTTATTACCTACAGAGGAGAAGAAAGTAAAGAGCACTAAAGTGGAAGCAAAAGTTAAAAAGGAAGTGAAGGATGGAAAAGGAGAAGCAAAGACGACGACAGAGAAGGTCAAGCAGGCAGAGACAAAAACAACAGAAACTGGGCTAATAAAGGCCAAAACGAAAGTTAAGGAGGAGAAAGCTCTTCAGACTGTAACTAAATCGGACAAGAAAGGTAAACAAAATGAGGAGGAAACAGATGAAGATCCTAAAAAGGTATTAGGGAAGAAAGAGAGAGAATGGAGTTAAATCTGTCAAGGACCAAAGTGCACCCATGAAAAACAAAAGTGCAGTACAAATAAATTCCACATGAACCTCACACTGCTAGGACATGATTACAGAAAATAAAATATATTTAATGTATATAATCAGAAGGTTCTAGAAGTTTGTCATGGCTAAAATTTCATTTTAATTTAAATCCTTCTTTAGCAAGGACCAATTTCTCTTCAGATAGGTCTGAGACTTTGTGGATTTGCTCAGTAGCATCTAATGTAGTAGATTGCAACCAGAGTTATTTTTGAAAATTCAGACTGTCCAATAACCTATTGGGAATTTAGGTTTGTTTCTACATCTGCGTATGTCCTCTGTAACCATAATGAAAGTAGCAACAGGGTAAAGGGAATGTAATAATTTATCTAACATCCTATTGTACGAGGCAGTCGTGTTGTCAGGTATTGTACAACATAGTGACATACATGCCTGACATAACTTAATGTGAACAGCTTCCAAATTTCTTCCAAAAAGAAAAGAAATGCTATTATTCTAGTGTGAGGAAGAAATTAAGTCATGAAACAAAGAATCAATGTGCATCAAAAACATATAGTTAACAAGGTGTTAACTATGTGCTCCACTTTGTCAGAGTAAGCCTGGGTTCTTCTACTCCCAGGTTGCACAGACTGGCTCCCTGATTTCCCTGTGGCATTGCCATGGCACTAAGTACAATTTTGTATGAATGAAGGCAGCAGGACCTGGCTTTCTGTATGAGCTGCCACACTGCAGCCACGGGATTATTCTGACAGTGAAAGAGGCAGCTCAGTGTTGCATAGTGCACCTGTCTGATCCTTTCAGCTGTTAACCACAGATAAATTGCTGTGCCTGAACATCAGAAAAGCTGTCCCTGCCTGGATATCTGAGTCTGCCTGATCTGATTCTCTCAGACTTTCATAACCATTGCTCTGGACCCCTTAGGAGTTGCCTAAATTATACTTTTCTAGAAAACTGAGAGAGTATGAGACATAGCCCACTTTCTGACAGGCATAGTGCACTGAACTAGTACTTTTTAACATTTATTTGTATTCCAGTTAATTTTGTCCTTCACTTGAAATATTGGGACCTTTGAGGCATGGAATCAAAGCAGCATCTATCACACTGATTGCTGTGACCAAGGACAAAGTTCAGCAAATTGTTCAGTTCTCTTGGGAGGTGAAAATCTCTTTCAACTTTTTGTTTGCTCTGGCAGAGTTTCAGTGCACAGTGGGGTCTGCTCCATACTGTTCAGGATAAAGCCCTCAAAAAGAAATGCTGTTCAGATGACAACAAAATATTTTAAGTAGGGATCAAAGATTACAGAGACCAATAGAATCATGGTGGCTTTTTTGTTTGTTGGGGTTTTTTTTGTGGCATTCCCAAAAACTTAAGCTGATAAATATTAGCTAAATGATCCATCTTGACATCAAACATTAACAGACCACTTTGCAAGTCTGCTTTGGAGTGTGACCCAGCAACTGTGCCTGGAATCCCAGCAGGTGAAAATGAGAATAAGCAGATGGAGTGGAGGAAGGAAGGAGCCTCTTCAACTGCCTTTATCACTGGAGACAGGGTTACGCATATCTGGTGAAAGCTGCATTTCCTACTGTTGTGCTTCCTTTTCCCACCATAAACCATTGCTGCCCAGCTGGACACTATAAAAAAATTCATTTTTAGATTTCAGTCCCACTGTGACCCAAGGTGAACATAATTTTAAAATCAATGCAGTTTTGCAGAGATTTCTTGATCCTGCAATCTTTACTTTTACTTGCTCGAGGGAGTAGCTCTGCCAGCTTATCTGAAACAATGTAAAAAATATAGCAGTGATCACAAAAGAGTTGTTGCATCATTTCATACTGAAATTAAAATTAAAAAAGACAGGTCATCTTCCTGGGTAAATCACATTAAGTCCAATGACAAAAACATCTATGAGTATTTTTATCATTAAGAATCTAGTCCAAAATTTTGATGTGATCTTTTAGTACTTATATGAATATTTGTGCCATCATTACAGAGTTATAGGTGAAAACTAAAGTGTGAAATTCTCCTTTTAATAAGGGACTTTAGATTAAAATGGAGTTTTAGCCATGAAGAGACACTTGAAAAATCATATTAATTTAAAATTCCTTAGATTTCAATCTTTACTGATTGGTAGCATTCCTATGAACTTAAATAGGATGTTATAGTGCACCTTGCTATACCATATGGAAGTTATATTTTTGTTATTGAGAGTTTTACATTCTGCTTTCAATTTCTTTTATACATCTCATTTTTTTAAGTAGAGTTGCTAAAGATATGAGGAGAAATTGATACAAAATCTTATTTCTGAGGTACAATCAAGATTAAGGCTTTTTAAAAAATTTGAATGTAATTTTGAAATTACATTTCCACAAAACAAAACAAACTCAAAAAAAAAGGCCCCACAACAACAACAAAAAGCAGATTAGCAAAATCAATAAACCAGAAGAATAGTTTAAAGAATAGATTAGTTTAATATCAATGAAATGGTGTGATTCTAGGGCCTCAGGCTATGTCTATATCACAACTCAGATAGAACCAGCACAGGCTTGCGCTCTGCCCTGGGTCTGTCCATGTAGTGTGTTGTCCCCTGCCATAGTTTTAGTTTTGTTCCGTATCCTCTAGCAGTCTTTTCTACAATGCTCTAGATGGAAATCTTCCCAACAGGCAACAAGGATAGGGGCAGCTTGTTTTGGCAAAAGAGAACTAAGAAAAGAAGGGTTTTGTGCAAGAACTGTGCCCTGCCATTAGCTTTCTGGGCTAAAGTGTTGGCATTGCTCCATTTTATTTATAAATATTCTCTGAGGCACTATTGCAACAGTGTCAAACTCAGTGCAAACACTTTGCTGGTTTCTGTAGCTTTAGGTGTGCTTGAGAAAACAGATCTGTATGTGTTTTCTCAAACACGTTTTTGGGGGACTTTTTAGAAGTATCATCTAGACTTAGGGCAGATACCATAGCCTTAAGAAAGGAATGCAAAGTTGGAGTCAGCCAGAATGATAAATTTGAATTCCCAAATATGAAAGTAAAAATTATTATGAATATTCATTAGAGGTTTTAAAGGCAATGTTTACAGCCACTGCCCTGAGTACTGCTGAAAGTTTTGCCCCAGGCTCTACAATCCTTACTAGGATGGACCTTGCCATCTCACTAACACAAAGCAGCTGCCTAGGCTTCTATCAACTAGAAAAATTGTTTGGATATTTGTTGAGTTGGTAAACCTTTTCCTAATTTCTACATCTGCATAGGAAATAATGACTTGAAAGCAGTAGCTCTTCATCCAAGGACTGCTGTATCAGCCAACATGACAGAGCAGCAGTCACACAAATGCCTCAGCATCAAATGATACTGATGTAGCAGTGACCTATGCATGAAAGTCAATTATATAACAAGTGTCACATACTTGGGAATTACAGTTTGCATTTACATGTAAGAGCAGTGCCATTTTAACAACTTTAATTAGTCCAAAGCCACATCATTTTATTTTGGAGTTGGCAACAGGGAAAGCAAGTGGCTTTGTAAGTGAGTAGGACAGAGATGCCACAGGAGGTAGAGAGAGGAAGAGATGGAACTTCTACAGTGTAGGACCTGTGCTAGAAGAGTCTTGGACACATGGATGAGTATGCTTCACTCAAGGACAACTGAGAACTGACTTAGCTAACCACACCTGGCATTTAGACATCAACATTAGCTTTCATAGCAAAGGCCCATTAGACTCCATTGGGGCAACAAGATTTTTTTTTCTTGAAGAATACAGCAATATTGAACTTCTTTTGTGCTCAGTTAAAGCTGATAACTTTTCCTCATCATTCTTAATGTTAGGAAATTTTATTAAGCTCTTCAGCTCTGCTTATGTACAGGAGAAATCAATAGACAATCAACACTTCTGGAATCAGCATTTTACTTAAATTCAGAAACCTTAATTTCTGAATAGTGTAGTTTTAAGAAAAAACACACAAATTTAATATATACATATGTATTTGTAAAAATTAGTGTTTGGTGAATTATTCTGTAGTGAAACAGTAGAATTCTGTAGAAAAATCTTGTTGCTGCAGGAGTGTAATTACACAAAGTTCTCTTTTTATGACAATTCACTAAATATACATATTTGTTTTATGGGTAAAAACATATTAACAAAATACAGTGATACAAAACCTTTTATTAAATTTTCTATCAGCTTTCTGTGAAATTGGTCTTCATGAATGATGAAAATTCTATGAGACCTGTGGCCAGGCAGCATTTTGCACAGTACTTGTGTAAGGGGTTAGGATATATGCCAAGAAAAGCTGGCCGAGCAAAAGAAGTGGTAGCTCTGGGACACTGGCAACTCTGCACTTCTTGGCTAGAGGTTTTGAATTAGATCTGGACAACAAATTGTCACTTTCTAAACATATGCACCACTTGAAGGTCAGGAAAAAAACCACAAATATATAGTAAGTAAGACTACCTATGAAAAAGCTACTGAGATGTCTTTGCACTGCCAAACTTTATCTTCACTGTTAAGTACAAATGACATTCTAAATTCATTTTCTTCATTACTCTTCTTTTCCTTTTTGCTCTGTTAGATCAATATGCATTCTGTCGCTATGTGATTGACATGTTTGCACAAGGGGATTTTTATCCAGGTACTTTCCTATATCATTGAACTCTGTTCTAATATTCTGTTTCCCTGCAAGTTTTTGCTCCTTTATGTATTAAAAGTGTGGTTTTTTATTATTGAAAGGTCTCACAAGAGCAACAAAGAGTGTGCAAATAATTTTAATAAAGCATAAGAGCTAATGGCTGTTTTCTTAAAGCTTCTAATTTTCTGTCTACAATGCATGAATTTAAATCAAGTTTATGTTAAAAGTAGAGTCAATGGAAGGCTGCAGAAATTGCTGAAATTTTCCATGCTTCTTTTGGCTGAGACACAGGAGGAAGGAGCTTATTGTTAATAGCTTATTATTTGGTTTATTAGGTTTTTTTCTCCACAAATAGCAAGGCTTAACTCCAAAATGCTTCAAAAATAGAACTTCCATTGTTGTTAGTATTTAAAATACCTTAGCTGATCCACCATTTCTGTGCTTTATCTTCTCTCTTCTCACATCTCCATGCTAATCTGTTCTAACACAGACACCTAATTCCTCACCAAAAAAAGAAGATAGAGCTACTGATGATGACTGAGCATCATCTCATAATATTAAGTTATTCGACCCTGACCTTATTTAATAAATACTCTTCCTGCTGAAGTCTAGACATACTGTAAAGAGACATAACCCTAGGAATGCAAAGCAATAATATTCATGAAAAGAGTTAAGGAGAGAATATTTAAGGACACTCTGAACATTACCAGCTTTGTTTGTTCAGTTATTTGCTCAACAAACTCTCCACTGGTCCACCCCTGAATTGGTTGATTTTTTTTTTTTTCTTATCTCTGCCTTGTGGCTTACATCCTCTCTTGATATGCCCAGGCTCAGACAGAGCTGGTAAATCCTAAGGGTGCAGCTGAGAAAGAAAGGCTCTCGCAAAGGGGATAGAGAGAGGACACAGATTTTTGTGGAGAGAAAATGAACAAGCTTGGGATTCAGTAGGGAGAGGGTTCCATTAAAAGAGAGCAAAGTACTGCATCTCCTCTAGGACATCTAAAGACACCCAGTTATAAACAGAGGGACTGCTTTAGGCTCAGAGGGGGAGAATAATTAGGCAAAACTTCCAGAGACTCTGTCATGCTTTGATTTAAAAAATAACACCCTGTACCAATGTGAATGACCTAGTTTCCGGATTTACACAGCTGTACCATCAACAATTCACATAAGAAATTTCTCCATGAAATATCTTTCATGGAGATCTTCAAGATCTTTTTTACAGTTCTCCTGACATTTACGAGCAGCAACAAAAAAGCCCTTTTTTCCCAGAAGGCTCCCTGGCCTGTTTGACCCTCCCCTGAGGCAAAGCAGATGTGTTGTAAGAAGGGACAGTTTGGGTTTTTTCAGTGTTTACTTTTCCAGCTACAAGGAAACTGGGAAATCCATGAAGGGGAGCAGTGAAATAAAGAATGAAGTGTGTAGTGACTTGAATTTCAGAAGATAAAAGACATGACTCTTCTCTTCCAGTTTTTGTCTTGTGTCATACCAGTGTGCTATGACAGACTTGTGGTTAGAAACCACAGATTAAAGAGCTGAAAGACATTAAGGTGTCACCATTAAGGTGATCAGATGGCCTTGCAAGTGAATGAAAAACTAGGGTGATAGGTTTAGGCTCCAAAAAGTGGAAATAAGTCTTAAAGTATCTTTAATAATCTAATTTTTAGGTGAAGTGGAAAAGAACTACCCCTTAACATCTCCCAAAGTCCACCTGGGGCTCTGCCTGTAAAGTGACTGCTTTTTGACCTCTCAAGTCACTTGTTGAGCCCTGAAGTTAAATGTTGCAGATGGTTGTTGTGCTGAAGCCAAATGTGTTTTTGTGGGAGGGGGAAAAAAACAAAAAAGTATTGCCTTGAAAACAAGCTTCATTGAACCCACCAGCTATGAAAAGCAATGCTGGAACAGCCAGACTCCAGAAACACTACTCAGTGTTTCTGAGAAGCAAAGTAGAGGTCAGGTATGATCAGCCTTGATTTATGGAAATCATTGAGAAGAGTGCCACCAAACAGTACTCGATTAGTTTGTTACTGTCTTTCTCAGGCAAAGTGCTCATTTTACACTGTCTTTTTGTGAACAGAGGTATTACTGTAATTCATTTTACTGAATACATAAATGTGGGGAAAACACCCTTTAATAACCCTAATATCCAATTAGATTTACAATCTGGTATATTTTATCCTTTTATCTGTCTATATATTTTATGGTAAAGAACTTTGTCAAAACAAAGAGTTCTGAGTGCAAATCAGCAGGGGAATTAAATTACAGTCACCTTGACGCTGCACTTTTTTCAAACAAGGAATAATTTATATCAATCACAACATTACCATTTGTGAAGGAGAAAAAAATGTTATCGTAGAAAATTCCTTTGCATAGACATATTGGGATTTTCTGTGGTTGATTTCATCAAACATGAATTTCTGATTCCTTAGGCAAAATTTATAATGTCACTATTAGTAATATCATTCAGCATTTTTTCTTACAAAGAACTTTTGCAATGTTTCTATTATAAAAAAAAAATCATATACACTACTATAAGATTAGGGATTTTTTAAAATATAAATATTAAGCAAGAATTTATAGAAAAGTAGTTCACTTAATATGGCATTTTATAGTGCTCAAAAAATTAACATTAAAAGCAAAACTCAGTTCCTTAGGTTTCATTAATAAATACATTTCTTAAAATATATCAAATAATGCATTTTGTTAGTCACACACTGTAGGAGGTCAGTTAATGCTCTTATGTTGATTTTAACAAATGAAGCTGAAATATTCTTCACCTGCTTAATATTTCATCAAGACAATGCAGTCTTAGCTATAAAAAATGAATTAAATGTACGCAGGGAATTCAAGGAAGCCATATAAGGAAGAATTTTTTCCAAGATGCTTCATGCAGCATTAGCTGGTTTTCTTGTTTCACTGGGTTTTTTTTTGCAAGTATTTGTCCTTGATACTGACAAATTTCACAGATGTCCTCCTTTAAACCACAATAATTACATCAATATCAAATAAATTCTAAGAGATATTTTATTTTTTATGAAAGAGAAGTATTTAAGGGTCTCAGCACTCTACAATGATAACAGTGGAGTTTTAGCCATAAACTCATTTTTTTCTAATCCAGAAGTTCTTCACATGAATATCATGACTGCAACAGTGACCACTTGGGTTCTATTGGTACATTTAGAGGTAGACCACTTGAGACCTACTGCACATAGTATAAAAAACTGCTTTCTGATTTTATCTCTTGAGAAATGGGCTTTAAAAATATTTTTTACTTTCTGTCTAACATGCTCATGATAAGTGAAAATATCTCAGAGGAACTGCTGAGCTACCTTTCATAGATTTTCTGGTCTTATTTGTCCCTGCGCTACAGTTGCTCAGCTGAGGCAATGCTGTCTCAGCATTAACAAATCACTCTGCCCAAACTTTTTTGTGCTCCTTTTGTCTGCCTGTAAAGAAAGAATTAATGTGCATTTCTTTCAGGATTAGTTTTCCAAGTTTTCCTTATAAAGATTAAGACCTTAGGTGGAAAGCTTGATTATTTAAAAATGTTAGTTCTGACTGGTACCTTTATTTCTCTACTGGCATTTCTTAAGTCCAAGATAGCATTTTTGATGCAGAAGGTCACTGACATATAGTTTAATGGATATAGTCTATTCCTTGTATTTGATAATTTGTTTGCTATTCTTGTATTTTGTTCTATTTCTAATGTTCTTATTCATAGTTTATTTTTTACTGGTAGGAGAAAGGTTTCTATTTTAGCAGAAGTTTTGAAACTTGTTTTCATAACTATTTTTTTGACATTAGAGAATTTGAAATCCTCACCCATGTGGGGGATTTCAGGCACTAATTGGTCACTCTTTCAGCATGGAGCACACAATTCTCTAAGTTAACTGGACCTACTCTGTTTATTCCCCTTGTGCCGCAAGTCTGTTTCCTGCTCTTCCCCTGCTTTCCCTGCCAGTCACTAATCTGGCAGATCAAGAAGCTGTTCTGATGAAATGCCTTTTTTGTTTTGCAACTGCTGAAACTGGATCCTTGCATGTCTGTGTTTCTGCATGGCACCTCAGCATGTTGTTGTGCATGCTGAATTAAGAGTGATAAGTATGACTTGGATATTTAGTCATGAGATGCACTTTTTTTTTCTCACAGGCATTTTATTTACTTGATGTGATTTTGTTTTCTTTTTAATCACTTAGAAGTTTATTTTGCATGCATACCTTTACTCTGTTCTGGGTTTGGTTAAACCATTTGCATTTCACAGTACACCCAACTCACTACTGGATGATCTTTACAGATTCTTAATTTGTGACAAAGACAGTGAGAACAGAGATGTGGTATTATTCACCATTTAGACTTTCTAAAACCTTAACACTGAAGCACATGATTGCCCTATAGAGCTTGTATCACTATATAGCTGTTTCCAATAACAGCTAGACTGCAAAGGAATGTGACCATATCAATTCCTTTCATCAATGCATATTGTGTGTTTCCATGCCAGGGTCTCAAAGCCAGTCCCAAAGCCAATATGAAAGCCAATGTGTTGTAGACAATTTTACTTACCTTGAAAAAATATATGACTTGGAAAAATTCACCAATTTTTCACAGGATTTCTGGCATGTGTACATTGCAAGAGAGTATCCCATAGGGTAAAAGAGTCATCCTACCTTCTCATTAAAATAATAATTGAAGCCTCACCTTTTGCATTTATGCTCGTAAACACCACCCTCCTACACCCCTACCCCCACCCCCTCCCCCCAAACAAAAATGAAGAGTCAAGAAATTAAGGCAAATTGTGATGAGTATCCATGGAGAATCTGGCAGACTGCTTGGTCCTGGAAAGTGTAGACTGAAAATCCTTCATGTCTACAATTTTCTTCCAAGACTTGCCTCTTCCTCATTGTCAAGAAATATTCTGTCAAAGAGAAGGGACTACTGTTATTACACAATACGGCAAGAGAATTTCAAGACTATAATTATGATACTTATTATACTTAATATCATTATGATAATATCCAAAAAATATGGAAATACTGGTATGAAGGTACGTCAGTATTGAAAGATCATGGACTATATTACTGAAAAAAAAAAAAAAACCCAAACCCAAAAAAGACCTAGAACAATAAAGACTACTTTAGAAAGTAAAAATGCCTTTATTTGCTGTGGGTGGGCTGTAGCACTGGAACTAAATACTTGCCCTTCGCTGTTCAGATAGCAAAACGCTTTAGGCTCTTGAACTATTTTTAAGTGTCACTCCTACTTGATTAGTCTAGGATGTGTTATGGATATCTCAATGACAGGGAGTAACATTTCAACTTGTTACATTACATTTACATGGAGACAACTTTGATATAGTTTCCCTGGGGATATATTTAATGAAGTGCAATTAGAAAAAGAAATAAAAATCAGTCATAATAAATAAGAAAGCATATTATTAGTTTGCTGTTTGAAGATATTCAGCATGAAAAACTTTCAACTGAGTTATGGGCTTTCCCATTTGAGAGTAAATGCTAAATGAATATTATTTTTTCCTATGGAGAGATGCTTTCTGGTGCAAGCTACTCAATAGCCCTGTACCCAATAGGAGAAAAAAAACAAGCCAGATATTTTTTAACTTTTTACTTTTTTACTGCCTGCTGAGGGAAATATTGTACCCCAAAATTTGAAAAGATTCATCTGGATTCTTCTTCTTAACTTTTTTTTTTTTGACAAACTGATGGATAAATTGTCCATCAGTTTATCAAAAAAAACTGTTCACATGATGAAACCCTTGCCAACCCATTTGTTTCTGTGGATAGCATAAATGGCAATGATTGAATGAAAGAAATATTTATTTCTCTAGTAATATCCTGGGAGAGTTTTCAATATTTTTCAAAGACTTTGAAAGGAAAGAATTAATGAACAGCAATTTTAAATACATGTATGAGAAACTGAAAAGTTTGAGTTATTTAAAAGTTTTCTAACTAATTTATTAATGTGCAGTTCTTACAATAAACATTATCTGTCATTTGGAGTTAAACATTCCTTCTTTAAACTTCTATTCTGCTATGAGAAACTATGAGAGGATATCCACTATGGGAGGATGTCCACTATAAGAGGATATCCAGTCATTTTAACAAGACTCTTGCCCCCAGCCCACCCCAAAACCTGTCTATTTTGTCAAACTCTGAAATGACATTGATCTCTCAAAGGGAATGTTATCAGCATGCAATCCTGACACCATCCCACAGAGGCAAAACAACTACCCATTATTCCCAGTGTATATCATCCCACTGTGAATCAGAGCCAGATGCTGGCACATGAAGCTGCATCTGTCAACACTCTTGTGGTACTTCATTGTAACTTGGCCAAAAAATTTCAAACTACTCTTGGAAACAGCTACAGCTACAAGGGAATGTGAGGTATTCTGCTTCTGCAGAAAGGAATGGATGTGTTTCTTTGATAGTTCACTGCAAGGCATTCTGAGGGTCAAAATTATAAGGTACAAGAGAAAGCCACAAACCTTTGCTGATGGAAATGAGTCTAAATCTTCGATTTTAATGGAAACAAACCAATTTCAGCTGTGAAGGCAGAGAAATGAGAGTAACCAAATTATTCTCACAATTGCATTTTGTTTATTGCTACTATTTATTATTAAAAACATTTCACATAGTTCAGTAAACAAGCTTCAAATGAAGGTTGATTTCAATGGAGGATCATAAAAAGACTCAACTACTTGAGTTTTGAAAAGTAAGCTATTTAGAAAATAAAGGCAAAAGTTGAATGCCAAAACACCCCTCCTAAACAGCTAATAGTAAACAAATAGTTTCCTATTTAAAATGTAAAAATAAGTTTTGCAAGGGACTTTGTAAAATAGTAACTGAGTTTAATGACTCATTTTCATAATTGATTTCCAGTTAGAATTATTATAGCAGATACTGATGCTACTGATATTTTTTTAACTTACAAAAAGTAAGTTAAAAAATTGAAGCATTCCAGAGGCAGTTTGAAGCAGCCTCAAAGTCACAGGCACAGATTCTTGGGAGGAAATGTAACTATCCTGATATCTACTGGAGAAGTAACACAACGAGGCACAAACAGTCCAGGAAGCTCCTGCAAATTGATGACAGCTTCCTGACAGAGGCAGTGAAGGGTCCTACAAGGAATGATTTCCTCATAGTGACAAAGAGGGAAGGCCTTGTCAGAGATGTGAAGGCTGAGGTGCTGCCTTGGCCACAGTGACCATGAGATTGTGGAGTTCAGCAATGGGCAAGGAAGAAGCAGGGCAGCAAGGAAGATTGCAGCCATGGATTTCAGGACAGATGACTTTAGCCACTTTAGGGATCTTCCTGGGAGAATCCCATGGCAAGAGATCCCATAGGAAGAGGGGTCCAAGAGACCTGGTTGAAATTCAAGGATCACTTCCTCCAGGCTCAAGAATGATGCACCCCAATGAACAAGAAACCAAAGAGGGCAAGAGACTTGCATGGATGAACAAGGAACTCCTGTCATTACTCAAGTGTAAGCAGGAAATACACAGGAGATGGAAGCAGGGTCGTGCCACTTGGAATGAATACAGGAAGGTTGTCAGAGTAAGCTGAAGGCAATGCTCCATTGTAGAGTTGCTTAACTAAGCAAGATGGCCAACAGCATCTTAAATGCCAACCATTTCAGTAAAGCAGGAATCCTACATGGGTTGCAAGTGAACATTTGCCTTTGATGAAACATGATAACCCACAATCTTCTCCTTCAGTCAGTTTTGTAAGCTCAGGTTATATAACTAAAATTATAAGTGAGCTAATGAATCTGTTATCATCAGAATATAATTCTGAAAATTCTTAGGGAAGTTAGCCACCATACATTGAATCTCTCTCAACTTTAACAACAAGGAAAATAGCTGACATCTATGTAATGTGCCTTTAAACACCTCCTGATGCTGAATACACTAAAACATCATGAAGAAGGAAAAAAAGTGTTCTGAAGAGCTTCCACTTTTCTCCTGCTTTTTTTTATTAAAAATAAAAACCCTATATCTCTATTATGAAACTAGAAGTTACTCTCCTCATCCCAGCATAGAAATCTGTGCTGTCTCTGCTGGAAAATGAGGAGAATCACTTTCAACAACAGTAATGGAACCAATTTACCATATCACATAAATAAAAAGAGCATAGAAAGGATCTACAAGTACTTTGACAAGACACATTCCATCATGAAGCGTTTCAGCTTAGCAAGAATTCCTCACCTTTTCTGGTCTGAGAACATGATGCAGTAGACAGAAGAGTGTTCAGCTTTGGCCTAAGAAACACAACCCTTTTTAATGCCCACCTACTTATGCATCTCATCTGCAGCTCATCTGCAGCCACTGGGACTGTAAGCTATGGCAGATCCATTCCTTTCACCATTCTTTCTTCAGGTGCATCTTTCTTTTGATGTCACCTTTCATCCTGCATATATCTGCCCTGTCAAAAAGATGTTGAACTTATGACATATACCAATAATGAGTCAAAAACTGCTTTATTTTTTCTTCATCAGGAACCTCTATTCCTCCCTCTGAAAATTCACCTTTCTTCCTACTGTTTCACTTTGTCCTTCAATACACCCAGTATTATCTGACAAAGTAAATAACAGAGATTTCAAAAGGTGTTAAATGTCCACACACATTATCCCTAAACAATTTTTTTTAATTAGGCTTAAAAACAAAATTCTTCCTATATGTGATATTAATTCATACAATTTTTGGTGGTTTGAGGAGCAATGTGTTACCAACAGTATTTACAGTGTGAAAAACCATGCATGGCTCTTTTAGTCCTGGTATATTTTGGTGGCATGAAGCATCATCTTTATAGACAACTGCAAAATAAAATGTTTGTAATTCATTGCACCTCACTTAGATACCCAAAAGTTAATTGCCCAGCTTTAACCTTTAGCTGTCTTTATAGCCAGTGGTATGAAATGGAGGCCTCCAGAGGACAATTTCATCCTAAGAAAGATGCCTAAGATAGAAAAGATGAATCACCCTTTGAAGGTACCAATTTCTCTCCATTGACTATAAATGGATCCCTTGGGTGACTTATCTAGATATAACTGTCTGAAAGTTAACTTTTAAATGTCTGGTAGTGAGAGAACCTACATACATTCAAGAAATATGCTGCAAATGTGCAAGCAAGAATTTTGTTCAAATGAAGACTTGAAATGACAAATAAAATTTGTCATAAAATTTCAAATTATGTTATCACGGGCAGCTGTTGATGTAATCAAGGAAACAGTAGTGCCACTTGGAAAAAAATACATTCCAGTTGCTATAGTGTTTTGGGAGTGAGTGAAAGAGGAAAAAAAGAAATGGAGAGAGAAATATTTTCTTAAATAAATGTGGAAGATATTCCCTATTCAAATGATTCAAACAAAAGAAACCTAAACAATTTTTGCATCAGAACAAAAGCTCAACCTTTAGAGCTTCCTCTTTCATAGAATTTAAGATTTGGAATTTTAGTTGCTGGATGCTCACAATGTTCAGTTTTTGGTTTTTTTGTTTTTAATTTCTGTTAGATCCATTTATATGTTTAATGGAAAGACATGGTAAGTTAAGTCATTTACCCAAAAATCATGGAGGATGCCTTGAGTACTAGGGTTAAAACTCATGACAGTGAATCCCAGGACGCTTTGTTCTAAAAACAACTTCTTCAAAGCATAGAGCATCTTCCCTGGAAAAACTAAAGGGAAAGAAGAATCAGTAGCTACCAATGCATTATTGGTTTAAAATAATCATGATCTCCAGTATTGAAGGTTTTTCTTCCAGCATTAGTTCCATAACTATAGCCATGGAACTTTGCTCCCAGTGATTTCAGTGGGAGTGAATAAACAGGAGTTAGGAGCCAACACCTCTGCAGGTTTGGGGCCTCCTCTGATATTTCATCTAACAAAACCTCTCAGTACTTTTCCCTCTAACTTCAGACTGCATTATTGAAATTCTAACTTCTGAAAAATTGCTATGGATTCACTGTCTTAAGTGATTGTCAAGTGTAGACAAGACAGGTAACAGAATCATTAACTCCTTGTTTGTCTCATTCTAGCAAAAAGACTCAGAGATATGAAAAACTTTGTGGCTTGGGGACAGAGATGCTTGGATTTAGTTTGACTTCCAGGGATTTCTATATTAAGTATATTCATTATCCACAAATATCTGTAATTGTGAGAGATTATCAAAATTTGTAATTTTATCTGTAATTTGATTTTATCCATGTTAGGCTGTATTTGTTTTGCAAAAACTGGCATATGCACTCTTCTTGAAGACAATATGAAGCATTATCATTCTTGTAGCAATCACTTATAGCTTTTCTGACTTGAGCATTGAATGTTTCTTAGATCTAGTTGGACTAAGGATGGTTGAAAATATGCTATGTACAGATAAACCAAATGCAAAGAACAGAAATTACTAAGCAGTGCTCATATGGCATGGTCAATGTCTATTACTTTTCAACATAACAGCTTATAAGGTCCCTCTGTTCTGTTTAATTGTTAGCTGCAAGTATTTAGTTGCAGTGTTTTCTGTTTTAATTGGATATTTCATATTGTGAAAAAAAAAACCATCTATGCCAACTCCTGATATTCAGGTTAATTATGCCAGGGGTCACTGTATATACCAATTTATTAAAGGTTATTTGGGGAGAGAGAGAAAGACTGAATATGTCTTTTCATTTTATAATCTGTGTTTACAGTCCTTTTGTACTACACTATGCCTATAATAACCCATCATTACCACACAATAACTCATAATTTCCACTGTCCTGATACTTAGTTCTTTGAGATCCAGCTTTTGATATTTCTAGACATAACATGTAGGTTTATTTTTACCTGCTAACTGCCCATGATAAATAATGTGAAGAAGTGGAGGCAGCAAATTCAATTTTCAATTTTTTCAATTCAATTTTATTTTAATGTCAGGAAAGGCTGTGCGACTTCTTAACATATAATTACAAAACTGTTAATGCTTAGCTCTTAACTCCTTGATGACGTCAGTCTTCTGAACATAAGAATTAGAAGTTTACACAAATATGGATTGACCTAAAGAGGAATTTTGCAGTAAAAAAATCTATGTAAGGGAGTTGTCACAGATATGCTTTTGTAAATAGATTAAACTGAAAGCTCTGTCATACAGATAAAATACATTGCATGAATTTCTGGTCTCACAGTATCCACTTTAAGTTAAAACAGAAAAAAAACCCCAAAACGCCAATAGCTCAACCCACGCCTTTCTTGACTGCCTCATTTGTACACTTGTTATGCACACTTGCATTGTGTGAGATACAAATGCATAGGGTAAAAAAATATATCAAACAAATTCCCAGCTGTGACTTTAATTGGATTTGGTGTCTGAGTGAAAACACAGCAACTGATATTCACACAACCTCCAGGAGTCTGCAATAATGATTCTCACACCTGTTTAATTGCCAAATCAAGTATGTTCGAAGCATCACTAAACCATGGTAGGAATTTGGAAATAGATAATCTTCAAGGTCCTTTCTAACCCTAGCCTTTCTCTGATTCATTCAAAATAGATATTGATATGATTTATATGTTCATGCATGCACAGGTATATAGAACATATTATATTATTACTACACAGAAACATATATAGGAATTCATTATCAACAATAAAGGATGAACTCAAATCTTTATGCATTAAAAATAGGAGCCTATCAAGTTGCTGCTACTTGTTGTTTGGTGCCTTGAGAAGAGAAATGTAATCCTTCCCCTTACTCCCTTTCAAAAGAGCATTTAGAGTATCAGTCTGCATCCTTCCTTCCTACACCCTCAGGTTTAACCTACTGGTCCTTGCTTTCAGCTTTATAGATGGATGGACTCCCAAGGTTGTTAAGTTATTTGTATAGGTCTGGTCTCATTGGCCCTGTGTTGAGGGAGTATCTCACAATAAACTGCTTTACTCAAAGTTAGACTCTATGTAGAGTTCCAAAATTACTTGTGTTATTGTTAGTGGATTTCAAACACATAAATCTAGTGGAACATAGCTAGATAGACAGATTTGTCATTACCCATGTGATCTTTCCTTTTCTTCTTTTCTTATGCATCATAAAAAAACTGTCTGATAGTCAGTGTGACAATACTAAAATTTAAACGATTGCATTGCTACTGGTAATCACTACATATACTGTGGCATAGGTTTTTCTTAAGTAATATCATCAACCTTATGCAGAATCAGTTTCACTTTATGTTGGGCAATTAACCATTTAATAAAGAGACACCTCCTGAGTTCAATTAAAAAACTGAAATATATGTTGGCTACTAAAATACACTTTCTTAAAAATCTCATTTTATTATACATTAATTCCATCCTCCCCTGCCAAAATTTTGTTCCAAATAGGTCATTTTATTATACATTAATTCCATCCTCCCCTGCCAAAATTTTGTTCCAAATAGGTAATTAAAATCTTGTTTAGTATTTAGTATTTTTTCCCCATTTGACGTAATTTTGTTATGTGGCCACATCTAGATTACTAAATCAAACTCAACTCAACTGTTCTTTCTCTGAATGTGATTTTTTCTCTCATAGAGAGATCCACATCCAGTACACTTCCTCAAGGTCAAAATGGGTTGAATGTATCTCAGCTATCTATTGGGAGTGGTCCCTGGCCCCTGCCAATTCCTGAACCAAGCCAATGAATTTTTTGAGACACTGCTGCTTGGCACAAGTCAAAGTTGTCAGAGGCTATCCAAAAACATGTTGCAGGATATGTATATCTGAATTCCAGAGCCCAGCAATGTAACCAGGCCCCATTTAATTACCAGTGTGCATGAAATCTTTGTGTCACAGTGTGTTCCTTAGGAAAGAATGCCTATATGGGGCATCAGCATTTTATTTCAAGTAATACATTCCAGAAAATGAGCATTTGCATTGTTCAGTACAGTTACATAATCTCACCTCTTGATCCTCAGCTGTTCTTTCTTAGTGAAAAAACAGTTTGCTCCTTTCATGCACACATAATAAGCAGAGAAACCTTTCCCCGGAATAGTCACAGCCTAATGTCTGGAGAGTAATGACTGAAAGCTGGGGACTCACCTTTAACTTGTAGCAACTTACACATCAAAACGGGAAGCCTGTGCAAAAGGGTTGGACTCCATTATGTTTTAAGCCCTCTAAAAGCATATTTGGCAGTATTGCCTCATTCTGCTGATCCATGCCTTGTTCCAACATTCATTAAACATTTGATTGGAATTTGCTTTTCATAAGAAATGACTCTGCAAAGACAATTACTTTATTTTAATTATTTTTATCATCACTAGAGAATGATGTCATATCTGCGCAGAATGAGATTTATCTGAAGACATTTTGCTGCACTGAGAAACTGTAACAAAGTATTGGTGCTGTTGGACCATAGGATTCCTGCTGTTCAAGGAACTAGTATATGGATATTAGGAAATGAACAGTTATAGGAATAGTATTTCCAAATATTGCACTCTGTGATGGCATTATTTCTCTCCATATCCAATTGGAATATTCACCAGTCTGAAATGCAATAATAATAATAATAATAATAATAATTACAAGTATTTAATATTTTTATTTAGAAATACATATTTGGACACCTTATTAAGGTTACTGCAGACAAGCTGAACTCAGAAGATCAAGAAAAAAGGAAAACTCACATAATTTGATGTTATCGTAAATCAATTTATACCCAGTATTTAAATGTGACATTTTGACACACATAGAAAGATATTTCCTAGATTGAGAAAAGTAAGGCAATTAAAATTTGTCTTGTATTCTTTATCATGCAATAAAAAAATCTAAAATATTAATAAACCAAGTCAGGATTAATTTCTTCAAGACATCTCAAGCAATGTGATAAACACTGATGACAGAAGTTTCCCAGAGCTCGAGGACTGTAGCTGATTTTCAATGAAGGATTCATGTTACCTAGTTAGAGTCCTAAACCTTCTACTCATCTTTGCAGCCTATTTCTTTCCTTTCATGCTGTGGAGGAAGGTACTCGTGTCTTAATGTGACACTTTTTCTCCTGGTGAGATCATTCCCATGAGCTTAAATCCAAGAATAGAAAGAATATTTCACTCTTTCAGTTTTCATCAGATGTAATTTGTTGTCAGCTTTATACATTACCATATATGAAGGAGATACCTAAAGCACAGCTGTATGGACAGATGACACATGGAAATGTTGTGGATCAACTCTAGGGACAGACTGGCATAGAAATGCATGGACATTTTTGTGATTGCAATTACACCTTTTGGAGAAATCAAAGCTTATTTTATTTTTTTAAAGCAGCTTAAATGAACCTTAGTGGCTTATCTCATACCAGTAAAATGAAGGCTATGTTGGAAATGAGAAGCAAGTAACTATGCAGTGCTTTTTTGTGGCTGCATTTTTAAAGCTATGAGATAAGTGTATGTCCAGCAATAATAGTGGTAATCTGGATAACAACTTCTCGTAATTCATGGACTAATCTGGTTGTCCACAGGGAGCATTAAATACATCCTGCCTTCCTCTAATTTACATCATGGATACGTGTCCAACTGGCCACTGCCAGTGTCAAGATATTAGACATCATTAATACGAATGGTCTGATCTGTTGAAGCCAATTTCTCATTTCTATTTATCAGTTGTCTGTAATACAGAAAACCACTTGTGCTTTATAACTTAAAGAGAAGAGAAAAAGTAAAAGAAAAGAAATTTGACTGAGGTTATCCCCTTTAACATATTTCATCAAAAGAATGGATAAAATATTTATTCATTTACTGTCCTTTACATTCCCATCAAAGTGAATAGAGAGACATTTAATAAGACATGGAAACATTAAAGAAGCCTTTTATCAGAGGGGATAGGAACCTGCTTAGAACAAACATTTTGGCCTAAGGGAAAGTTTTTGATCTGTGAAGCTTAAACTTAAAACACTCTCATATTGGATCATGTGGTCAATTTGCATGAAATAAATGATTTGCTTAAAACTTGTAAAGCTATAAAATAGAACTTGACAAGTAATTAGCAATAAGTGGTATCATACTGGCATTATGAGCACATTGGTGCTATCATTAGAAAACTGCAGCCACAGCAAAGCACAGGGAGATAATGGGGCCAGCCTATAATTTGACCTAGAGGAGTTAGATCATTGCCCCACACTGTAGATGCCATTCTGCAGTCCAAATTATCTACTATCCTTCATCATTACTCATCTACTCAACATTCTGAGCCAATGCCCTTTATCCTTTTTCCCACAAAATATTCATTCAAGTTGTAAAAATTATCACTTTTTCTAACTGGAGAATAGGTGGTCTGCTCACCAGTGTTATTTTCCAGTAGGGAAAAAAAGAGCTAATGTTTATTCTAGGACTTTGATCAAATATAGAAGGAAAAATAAGATTACCCATTCTTTATTAATTGCTATGTTCTTTTTTGTTTTCATTCTGAACTGGAAATTCAATTGCTCCAGTTTCTGTGTGTTGACATGGTTATGAATATATTTTTTCTATTCTGGTTGGCAACAAAGGTAATCAGCAGCTCATTAGTTCAGTTTGCAACTTCAAGATTTTTTTTTTTTTCAGACAGAAAGCATTTGGAAAATCGTGGCTAAATATCTGGATTCCTGAAGTTTGCCTAACATTCATTTTAAGGCTATAGTTATTCTGTGATATCAGTATATATGCACTTGGGTTTATTGCCAAGACAGGAAATACATGGAAAAATTAGGATTATTACCATTTGTTGCAAAACACCTTCAATACATTGGTTTTATCAATGTGTCAACATTTTGTCAGTGGCTCAGGCACATGTCAAGTTTGAGCAGCTCTATGTTTGATATTTTATACAAATTACTGGATAAACTGAATCACACACTCACAAATTATGTGCCTGCAATTGTACATGTGGTGACGAGATGCAATAACATTAAGTCTACGATGCTCAAATCCCACTGCTGTCTTCAAGATAATGTTTTTCTCATGCATTCCCCATGAGTATACACACCTTTGCAAAGTGAGAGGGGTAAGTAAGATGTTGCAGTTTCCAAGACCCATTAAAGCCTTAATTTCTTTTCTGAGTCTATCATCAAGCATGAGGCATGGCTTTGAGTTTCTGATGTGAAGCTGGAGCTGAGCTTTAACAGTCTGTTTGCATGTGGACTCTGGTGCAGTGAATGTATGCTGGTGCATATGACTGAATTAATATTACATTTAACTACTTAATTTTATTTCTCAGGTCACAAAAAAACACACCTTCCAAATGACAGTGACAGGATAGCTACTGAGACTAAATGCCAGTGAAATAAAAGGAAATAAGGAGACTGCAAATATGTCATAAACTAGAAAATAAGCACAAGTAACATAAGAGTACATTAAATATATTCGTGAATCTGTGGAGAGATGAAGTGAGAAGTGTTTTGTACAAAACATGATATCTGCACATAGGCTAAGATGGTACAGAAAGTCCCAGCTGAACACTCTGAGAGAGTAGAGGTGTTTCAGTCAGCAGCTGGAATCAGAACCTCATCAGTGTTTACAATGCATGACCTGGTTGGTATTGGCTAATTAAGAATAAGCCTTAAGGATGAGAAACATCATAATTTTTTCTGGTGTTTCTAGGAGCTCATTAAGTGGACTTTAGGGAGCAACTAAAGATCATTTATTTGACAGAAGAAAATAAGACTTTGTTGTAGAAGAGGCATCATGAGTATGCAACCTTATTATTATAGTATTATTATTATCTTTTGAGTCTAAGGAAGAAAACCAGAACCATAACATTTCAGCATATGTTTGAGTCACATGGATTTCATTGGTTTCAAATGTGACTCCTAAAAATAAATTAGTCTATTTATTGAGAAATACATTTCCTTCTTATAGTGTCGGAAATATATTAGCTTTTATGCACACTGTAATATTTTTAACATGAACCATTTTGAAGGGAGCTCAACCTCCCAGTGAAACTGCTCAACCTGTTGGTGAATACATTTTCTATGCTTCTTAACCTGTATTTTTAGGTGCAGGACATAAGGAATTTGCACCACCTCGTCTTCTTCTAGAGCACAGTCCAAGAAAGAAACCAGCAGCTATTGAAGGCAAGTTTGAGTTTTTCCACCTTTATTGGCTTCTACTTATTAACCTGACTGTTTGTTCTAATGGTTTTTTAAATTTTTTTAATTTTTTTAAAAAATATAGCCTATATTACAAAAGTGATCCCATTCCTAGGCCTGGGACAGGAATGACACAGTGACATACGCATGACAAAACCTAAATGTTCCTTATAGTAGTCTCACAGATGGCTTGGGGGATTTCCTGAGAATACGGGATTGAGGCCTAATATGTAAAGTGCTTTGAATGGCGTTCAGCTATAACCTGCTATCTAACTATAAACATAATCAACATTATCCTCTTAATATACTTTGGATTATTCTTTCAGCTATTGTTATTCAGTAATTTTTCTGGGCCTTGTTTGTAATAATGAATGTAATATTTATGGCTCTACATTTATCAACCCTATTGTTAGTGTTAAAACCACTGAAAGAGAAATACAAAGTCAGATCTTACATTCAGAAGATTAAAACATAATCCCTGCAATTGAATTATATTGTTTATAGTCTGATCATTACAGTAAAGTGATTGAAATACTAATTTTAATTTTAAAATTAACTATGTCTGATGACTTAGATCTACAATTACAATATATGTTCTTGGTCTTTACACCATACAATTTAATAGTACAAAACAGCTGAATCTTTTAGTGTAATTATGCAGCAGTTTTTCATTTGAAAAACTTGAGTCCTTCAGTCACTCCATGGCACTTGCTAATTTCTCTCACAGAGGTCTTAGTTCTATGTTACCCAGAAAGCAATTGCAGTCTAAGAGAGGAACAGATGGGGTGGCAGCAGAGTAAGTAACAAGAGCTACAAGATTTCCTGCATTTGAAAACAGAAAATGAGACTTAGGTTTTGCCAGGACCCGTGACTGAAACAAAGTGTTACAGTAATTAGATATTTCTGTAATGTGATTATTGTGAATCAGAACATTTAGATAAAAATAGTTATGTGACTTATTATGTCTTTCCCCAAAAATCTCGTTACCTCAAATGATTATTTCTTTTTAAACATGCTGTTTAAAGGAGTATAAAATTGTGGTTATTTTGAGACAGTATAGAAATAGATTTGCACTCTTGCTTACTTTAGGAAAATGTTTGAACCCTGCTCATCAGCAGAAAGAAGTCCCTGCAATGTTAATCTCTGTTATCCGTCAATTAACCATAATGGAAAAAAGACATAATAGAACAAGGCTGACGTGTTTGCTGAATGATAAACTTAATCTTTAAATATAGCTGTTACACAAGATGAACTAGCATCAAATTAACATTGGATTCTTAATTTTCAAAATCATGAGGAGCATGCAATTACTGCAATTGCACATAGAAATGACTATTTATGACCAGTTACACATTTGTGTGTTTCATTAGCTCGTTTATGCATGCAATTCAGGTAATTGGGACTGTAAATTAGACGCCCATTTGGCAAACAAATTTGAGGGAGATTATCTGCTCAGAACCATATAACTAAATTCCCTTTAAGGCTCAAGGCCAGGCACTAGGATACAATATTTTTCATGCAAGAGATTTGGAAGATATGAAGAGGGCAGAATTACTTGTAAAATGTTATTATGAAAAGCTGTTATATTGTGTTATTCTGTGTTTTCCACGTATGAGGAAATATGCCACAGTGCCTTGAGGCACTGAAGTTTTATTTAAGCGCTAGAGAGAAAAAAAAAGTAATTTATGAGAATATTTGGCAAAATGTCAAAAGGGAAAAAAGAGGAGTAGGCAGACAAATTTAAATCTTTAAAATAGCTGAAGAGACATCTGCATGTGACTTCTTAGTGCTTAGATACTTTTATGACTGGTACATCACTAAACATTACTGATCAGGAGAAGGTACAGATTGAAACAAAAGATTCTTCTTATAAATATAGTTGGAAATAGTATCATAAGTTGTCAGAATAGAGAACAGACAGAAGAATTTTTTAATTGAAAAATATACTTTATATAACATCAAAGACTGACTTAACTTTTGACAGAAGAAACCAGCTCTGAAAAAAGGTAAAGCTGTAGGAAGTAACAGAATGTTTATCAAACAGAAAATTTATGAGACCAATCTACTTATACCCTAGGCTTTCCAACTCAGTGATATTCAGACATTATATATGTAATTTTGCAGCTGGTGAAGGCTGAAAGGATCTTACTCTTTTTCTAGATTGACATGTTTTCAGTATTGCTCTATTTTGCCACTGCTGCCTTAGGTAATCCTGGACCATTCTTGTTTTCTGATAAGGTAGAAATAGTGGTGTGTATGTGCCACATATCTCTAAAATTTTTAGATTATTTGATGTCTTCAAATGGAATGCTTTTCCTGGATAGTATCCAATGTCCTGCAGTAATTATGCTCTGCTGAATTATTGAGGCCTTAGAAAAAGAGCATATCGTTATTATACATTAAATCTCACATTTTTGTCCCATTGTCATTGCCTTTTTCTCTTCCTTCAGCTCCACTGTAAATCTTTTGGAAAGGGGGTAATTATTTAAGACAATCTTAATTTGTACACTAGATTCTAGTAGTAAGCAATAAATTGCATTGGAGCGTGCATATGAGTTGAAATTTTCAGACATCTCCTGGTCAAAAAGCAAAGTGCTTTGTACAAGCACTTTGTACTGACTTTCTGGTCAGAAAGAAAAGAACAGATCTTTGCTTTCCTATTTCATGGCCGGTTGGCTTTTTCAAAGATCTTACCTTAAAACTTCAATGAAGAGTTTGAATTTTCAGATCATGAGCAGCAGAGAATAATAAAGCAAAATATAGGATCCTGTAACAGTGAAGAGAAAGAAGGTAAAGGAATTTGTAAAGATAAAGGCATTGATATATAACATCTGCTTGTATTTCAAGCTTGGAAACCTTGTTTGGTAAACTAGGAACTAAAGAACTAATTTTAAATTCTTTATCTTATCTTTTTATGAAGCTTTCACAAGTACTTGGAAGCAGTGTTCTCAGCCTGGCTGACACTGATGCTGCCATGTCAGGACACTGGTGTCACCAGTAATTTGAACAGATCAGCTCTCCATGGCTGTGTGAACTTTGACTTTAATATCCTTCTTCTTCCTTGGCTGTAGTCTTCCACACCACTTTTAACTCTAGATTTCTTTTATTTTGTTTTATTTTGTTTTATTTTGTTTTATTTTGTTTTATTTTGTTTCACTGACATCCTAAAACTTCTCTGCAGTGTATACTGCTTCTCTGTGATTCTCTTTCTTAGGTCTTGAATTTTTCCTCAGCTCACACAGCTTTTACCTTCCTCCATTTCCACATTCACATGAAAAGAATTTTCCTTTCTGATAGTCCTCCCATGTTTCCCTCTCTGACATGGCAGGGTAATCGTTCAGGAACTCTGCAGTTAGACAAATGCAAAAACTAAGATCAGAGGCTTAGCTAGGTATTGGGGAATCTTCATGTTAATTGTTCCAGAATAGCATATCTTTGCCTTCTCACAAGATCACAGCACCTGTGTGAGAAAAAGTGTACCAAAATCCTTCTCCCGGTGGAAAGGGTCTTAATGCGGGATCTCAAGCAGATCTATGCTTTCTACCACTTTGAATAGCACTGGATGACAAAAAACATTTGAACAGCATTGTATCTGAGTATGATTTTACTAAGTTATATTGTCCTAAAAGTCTGTTCCTGTATCTTTGAGTGGGAGAGCATTATCATGGAAGAGTCATCAACATAACTATTCTGATCAGTTAATGAATCATGACAAGTTCTGAAATATCCCCCTTCCTTGAATGAAGTATACTGGCTGTTCCTTGTCATCTTGATGGTATCTGTGATATTGAGGAGAAAAAAAAATCTATAACATCTTCAGAGGATCTGTGAGGAAAATGAGTGTTTTCTCTAGGTCATTGAATCCTCTAATTACAAATTTTTCAGAATGCAGTAAAGCAAGTTGCTGTGAAATGTATTTAACTTCCCTCAAAACTCCTGTGGAGGCTAAATTGGCAACTGCATCTGTGTTGCTATATAGAATGCACACTATCTGAGTGTCTTAAGAAGAATTTCTAGTCTATATCTCTGTTCATGAATATGAACATTAGGGGATATAACCAAGAATATCTAAATTACTGAAGTCAATACAAATTTTGACAAAGCTCCCTTGATGTACAGGAGTGTATAAATCTTGTACAAATCAATCTGCTTCTGTACAGTCTGTCAATGTCTGCCTTCTCTTCTGTACATGGATTGTTCTATTAAAAAACTCTGTTTTTCTTCTATACTATAGAATCAATTATCTTTTAAAAAATCCTTTCAGTGAGAGATCATGATTCAAGACACAACAGAACTCTTAAAAAAAGGCACAATTTTGAAATCTTTCTCCCCATTTAGTATATTCTTAATAATATTGACATGAGCTGTGGATGAAAATCCATTTTTCTGATAAATTTTAGTCCAAGGGAGAATATAAGCAGGGAAAAAGAAATGTATTTCTATTAGAAATATTGTAATACAATGGGTTAGGTTTAATCTAGGTCAATAGATGAACAGTTTAGTTAGCTTTAATGCATTGCTGTATTTACAGCATAACAAGGTTTTTTGGAGAAATATGGGCCTTATATCTCCATGAGTCTATACTGAAGACAATAAAACTTTTGAAATAATATGAACAGGGTTGCAAAATGAACTATTTAATGATTTAAATTAGACATTTAAGCAGTAAATTCTAATGATTCAGCAGTGATGAAAAAACCCCAAATCTTCACTGTTTTCGAAAGCCCTTGACATTTTCTTTAATGACATGAGGCTCTTCTGTACTGCTTCTATTTTATCATAAAATACAAAAAGTTAAACAGACATGAGAAAAAAGCACACTAGTGTGAGAAAAAAATGCATAAAGATATATATATTTTTGATTAGACATATTATTATATTTTTTCATCACTATAATAGTAAAATTAAAATGTTAGAGTATGCATTTGAAAATAAATATTCACCAAGGTTTATCCAATAAAACACAAACAAATACCTCGGAAGACTATTTTAACTTTTCAAAGTGCTTTTTAAATGTTATAGAAAAACAATAGTCTTTCACATATGTTGCATTTGCAAATGGAAAACACTTACTGGAATTAAGTTAATCTGGTTTTTCAAAGGGAGAACTCCCATGTTTCTTTGGAAAGAAAAAGGAAACTCTTACAAAGGTCCTGCATAACCTCATCATCCCATTATTAAGACTCAGACACTCTTGCCCAAAAGCATGCTGAATTAAGAATATCAGCAAAACCTTCCCAGCACGGGTAACATAATTGGTCCTGACATTGATTCCTGTTGTCCAGTAGGAATTTCAGTCACAAGGAGGGTGAAGGTTGGCCAAGCTACCTTAGCTGTGTTGGTTGGCTTTCACGAGTAAATGTTGTACCGTAAAAAATCAGTGCTTGCCTGGGAATATAAGTGATCATCATATTTGTATTTGTGTCGTATTTACCATTGGCCATTGTCCAATAGAGTTTCTGTTGCTGGTCTCGTTATGGAAGTTGTTCTGTCCTCTTTTTTGACTTGCCATTCCTACTCTGGCTTCATCTCTCTTGTGGTTTTATTCCTTTGCTCCACACTGTGCTGTTTAGTGAGGGCAACATATGGGCCATGTTATTAACAGAGACTTCTGGTGCTTAATGCAACAGAGCCATGAAAAAGAAGTCCATAATCACTGCAGGAAGGAATAAGAAACATTTATGTAGGTCACATGAAAGCATTAGGAATTTCAAGCATGATATTTCTATTGCATAGATTCTGCAGACCTCAAAATTATCTCCACAAGCAATCTTCACAGCTGCCAAATAGTGTTTCAGACTGGGATTTGAAAACAGTGAAGCACTCTTCAAAAAAAGCAGAGTCAAGCTGGAGAGATTGCCTAGGCCTTCAGGGTGTGCTATATCTCCAGTGATCTGTGTGCCCCAAGAGCCTTTCACTTGCCCAATATGAAAAGAAATTGTATTTCCTTACTCTGCAGGGAAAAAAAGGTGGTGTCATTTAAACAGCTTTGCAAATAAATGCACTTCATTTTGGCCTAAACACTCACCTGTAAGTTGGAGAGAGAACTTGTGTGCATGTGTGCATGCACTTTGTGTTTGTGTGTGAACAGAAGCAATTGTAAAAACTCTAGGAACTTTAGATTAATACTATTTAGGTTTCTTTGATCTTTCTTGGCCGTCCAGTAATTTGGCTGAATCAAGACAGAATTATATATTTCTCATAGAGAAAGCAACCAGACCAACAAGGATTCTCTTACCTCAGAAAGAGATTTTTTTTTCCCAAAGAGACAGCTAAGGTCAATTTTTACTTGAAATTTAGATTTAATCTTAAAGGTATGAGTTTTCATGACATCCTAAACTAAGCAGAAATATCTCCTTGCATTGTTTATTCATTTCTCCAAAAGCTTTGTAACCCTTAGGGGGTCTTATTTTGTGAATGGGTGTTAAATGTTTAGAACCAAAAGATATTGTCAGTCCCTACCCTAAGCAACAGGCCAAGGGGAAAGAAAAGAAATACCATCAAAAACTGAAATGTAATGAGTTATTCTAATATTTAAAAGGATATCCAACTCTCACTGAAATCAACCGCAAAACTTTTATTGAGTCCAGCAGAGAAAGGAATTTAGTCACCAAGTAAAACAAAGAGGAACTGTAATCCCTTCAAAATTAATAAGGAAAAACATTTTTAAGAAGCAGCTTGTGTTTTGCTTGAATGGTCTTTTAAAATTATGCCAATGACAGCTTAAGGTGCACAGAGCTTCTTGAACAAAAATGAAATGAAGTCTTATCCTGAATGAAGTCACTGTGTTCAGTCTGAATTATAGTTTCTCAGGAAAAGCTGAATTAATGTTTGTTTTATTTTATTTTGTGTCAGTGAGTATACATGTGTCTCTGCTGATCCTGAGTTCTGCCAGGACTGGAATCTGTAGGCAAGAAAAGCTGTTGTAGCATTTCACAGTCAGGCAATAAATATCCAAAGTCTCTCACAGGAGCTTTCCTCCTGAGGTTTAGACAAGAGGGTTTTAGATAAATGCAGATAAGCCTCATATAAGGATCTGAACTTTAGAAAGCGAATGTGAACCCAAACATCTCCAAACTTCTGGCATTCAGTCCCACTAATTAGTCTTCACTATATGCATGCCTCTCCACCAGAAGGAATCTGTGGCTATATTTTGCTTCCCTGCTTACCTCAGTTTCTCAGACTCATTGGGATGAGCTGACAATTCCTTCCAGAATCAGACTTTCCATAAGAACATGGACCATCTGGAGCAGTATGGTAAAGAAGCTCTAAGAGCACCTTCTTCTTCCAGTTCCTGGGCAGCATTCCTGTGACACTATGCCCTGTAACTCATGTGCATCCCTAAATTTAGATTCCACTCAGCACTGGCAGAGTAGCACACTGGTCTTACCAAGCCTGATTTCAAGTGCTGCGTTCTTAGCGTGCTTCTGTTATCTCCCCTCCCACCATTGTCCAGTAATTAGCTGCTCTCCTATGAGAATAACACAAAGACAAGGTGCTGTCAAGATGGGTGGAGGAAATTCAGAGTGAAACATCCCTTTCTTGGTCTTTGTTGAATCTTATTTGGATTTCTACTGGCCTTGGTCCTTCATCCCTCATTAAAAAAATAAATCATTCCATCTCAGAGGTTACTTTGCTTCAAGGTCAGTTCTGTTCAATCCAGCCACTTTGCAAGAAAATTATTCTATTCTGTTTCTTTTTATTTTTCACCCAGGAATAAGTTTTTCACCTGAATGTCCCATTCAGTAGTATATCACTGCTTTAATTCACAATACTCATGTTCACTGGAGTCCTTCTTATACTACATAAAGCTCAACTTCTGCATAGAGTAGAGTCTACAGAAAAAAACTTGACTAAATGAAAAGTCCATTGCTGACCTTGCTGACTGATTCTGTCATGTACTCTTCCAGCTGCATATATCCTTATTTCATTCTTGTAAATGTATTGCAGGCTTTTAAAAGGGAGGTCTTTTCATACTTGTATGTCTTACACTGTCCATGAAGTGTAGCTCAGTACTAATGCCACAGGTGAAAAAATCCTGTTAATTAAGAAACAGTAGCAATAACAACAGATTTTTCAACCGTTAATTTGACTTGAATTTTATATTGTGGTCAATGCTAAATCCTCCAAAGCACCTAGTGTTTCCCTGTGTAACCCACAATTTGTGAATATTAGGATCCCTCTTTATGCAGTTGGCCCTTTGTAGTTCTGTAACTGTTCCTAGCTAAAAAAGTAAGCTCTTTCAATTAACAGATGGGGTTCATATTTTACAGTGCAAAAGACCAGCCTAAATTCCTATTTAATTATTTGCTCTGCCTCTTAATTTAGCTGTGTACATATCTGCATAGAGCCCACTACATTTACTACTTCAGAAATTACGAGTTTTGCTGGTGTTAAATGTACACTTAATATACAACATTCTAAATGTGAGCTGCTCAAATTGGGAGGAAAAAAAATTTATTCAAGAAATGGGATTACTTCCTTAAGTCAGAAATAGCTCTTTCCATAACACCCATTTGCCAAGTCCATCATTCTCATTTACAGAAATTTCTCTCAGTGGAAGCTGTGAGGGGCACCAGCGGGGCTAGATGCAGCTGAGATGTGAATGGAAGCTCAGTGACTGTTTTTCTCAGAATTGAACAAGAGTACTTATCTTGCATTAGGCAGCATAATAGGGGCCACAGTCCTTTAATACTTCTATGTAATCATCCCCCAGAAACTTCATAACAAATATAGACATCTCAAAGTTGTCTGGACATTGAATAATGTAACTTGAGAAACTGATGGAAGAAAATTATGTCAGCGGGATTAATTTGTGGAATGATTTGGCAATGAAGATTCTGCAGCCATGGATGCCATCATCCTTGCTTGGGTTATTGGCAGTAAATGTTCCTGCCACTTCCTGTATATCTTCTATACAAAGCTTCACTTCTCAAAGCTCAATACCTCAGCTTGTGGTTTTCAAGATGCATATGGCTCTGAACCTTGCTGTGCAAATTAAGGCAGATTTCATGTGGTTTTTTTCTGGGCCCCAGAGGCATGCGAAATGCTACAATTTCAAAGGCAGAAATGGTCTCGGATTAAAGAGAATCTTGTTGTAAGGACCTTGGGCTTACAAATTATTCTCATACATCACCTAGCACCAGAAATTTAAGAAACCAAAAAAATCAATCTAACTCACCAGAACTGAGGCACTCAGGAAAAACAAAAAATGGACATTACAGAAGTCCCAGCAGCTCTTCAACATCTAATTACTATGAGTAAAGCCTCATGGAAGGAAGACAGAAGGAAGCTCTTTTCTGTCAGTAAATAACACACACTTAGTATGTTTAACAGTTTTGATTAATTCAGGCAGAGTATGCAAATAATTAAACCACATTTTAGAAATTAGAGGAGATCTACATCACATGTAGAAATAAACCGCTGAAGAGTCATAGGTGGCACAGGAAAGTGGAGCTGTGGAACAGCTTTTGTGAAATCTGAAGGTGAAGAGATGTCCATTTCAACCAGACAGGCACAATCCCTAGCACAAATCTCTGTAAATGTGTGTTAGGGAGAGAGAGAGAGAGAGAGATAGGCAATAACAAGAATAATAAAGTACACAAGAATATGAAGTTCTAAACAAGTTAGTGGAGGATGAACACTACTCTGATGCTCTACGCACACCTAAGAAATCTCACAACACAGAGGAATTTGTAGCTTGAAGTGTACTGTAGTGCTCAGAATTTCAGCAGGAAGAACTAAGCACATAAAACTCAGAGAAACATTCTGTAGAATATATGTGAGAATTTTCTGAAGACAACAATGAGAGAAACACATTGAACAAATCTGTTTAAAACAAGAAATAAGTGGAATACAACTATATTACGCTTAATATTAAAAGCAATTGTCAGAAAAGCAGCACAAGTATAATTTCAATAGACCCTGAATATTGATAAATACATTGCCTCCACAATAGGCAAAATACCTTTATTTATGAAATCAGCATAGAGAGACTGTGGAATTCAGGTACTCTATAAACCCAGCAATTTTTCAAAAATCAAACACACAGTGTTCTGTACAGTCTGTCAATGTCTGTGTGTTTCTGTGTAAAAGTAGCCAGCTGAACTTCCATTTCTTTTTTTAGAGAGAAAAGAGGAGAAGAAAAAGAGTGATGAAAAGAAGAGTACGACTGAAACTAAGGTGAAAGGTATGGTTTGGAAACATTTCTTACTGGCCTCATTCAGCTTTTACTCACACTTCTGGCTCATTTCCCATTGTTTTCTGTTAGGTTAATCCTATACTTCTGGCTGTATTGTCCTTCTCTTAGTTGTTCGGTCACTATTTGTATGTTTCCACTTCTTCTGTATCTAATGTCTAATGTGTCCAAAAAGTTCAGCATGCAATATTACCTAAACTCATTTTCTGGCAAATGAAATGTCCTGTTTGGTGGCCATCTATGGGCTTTTTAAACAATTTAATGGAGTCCACAGATAACAGGACATAGTTATACTGCAATACACAAAACTCAGGAAGATATCACTCAATTTATGGTACACCAGTTTCTGAAGATAGGGTAGATGTATTTAGTTTATAGAATCACAATTGAAATTTACAATGACCAAATTGCAAAGTCATGATATCCATCTAAATAATATTCCAATCATAAATTCTCAGAAAGAATCTAAAATCCACAAAGGTGTTGCTTCATGAGAAATATTTAAGTCATTCATTATTTTTTAATGATCTCATTGCTACTGGAACTTAAGCTAAAAGCTGCCACATTCATGCACTGATGATTTTTGCCTAACTTTTGATGAATTATTAAGGGTCCAAATCATCCATTGTTGATGCATACTGATTAATTTTCATTTTCAGCTGATTGCTCTGTGTCTAGTTGGGTGCAAGTGCTATAAGGGAATAATCTGAACTCCCAAATAAGTAATATTTTTTTTCAGTATGTGCCCAGCAGGACTTGGTTGACTGCATATTTGAGTGTATGATTCAGAGTTCTAGCACATCAAATTACTCTCTTTAATTAAATCTTAGAAAAAACAGGAAAAAAGGAGAAAGCTCATGAGAAGACAGCTGTCCCTGAAATTAAAAAAGCAGGTAAGAAATTGAACTCTGACTTTCTCTGCAATGATATCTGACTATTTAGTGTAATCACTTTCAAGTTTAAGCATTTGAGAAAAGGGTGTATGTAGTTCATTATCATTCAAGAATCCAAGTAGAGATATAGATATATAGATGGATAGATAGATAGATAGATAGATAGAGATGTATCGCTGTATATATATGTATACATTGTGTCTGTATTTATATTATATTGTATATTCTAATATGTTATATATTCTAATTCTATTATTATATATTCTATTATATTCTATTACATATCTGTATATATAATACATGTAATTTTCTGTTCTTTGATCTCAGGACTTTTACAAATATAATGAATTTGTAAATATAAGTACATTTACAAATAAATTACAAACACTGCTTTCACTTAAACACCATCAAGAGCATAACTAATTTCAAAAGCTATAAGGCAAAGACTGAAAGTAGAGTATATATTTTACCATTAACTACTTTAAAAATACAGATAATATTAAGTAATAAATGGAACTATTACCATATAAAAACACTAAGTGTGGGAGAAAATAGATGGTTATTTTCTGAATTTTTACTCATGCCCAGAAAATAATTTTTTAAAAGTTTAAGTAGGTGAATATCCTAAACCTGATTGATTGTTTCATGCATAAAAATATAAATATTTCAATAAGATTAGAAATTAGCAATTTGGGTCTTATCTACAGTAAAAATGCTGTATTTTTCTTCCCCATTATTTCAGTAAGTCTGCAAGTATATTTAATGTGGAAATGCAAAATTGTCTCCAGTAAGTGACACAGCCTGCAAAACTGTCTCATTAAAATCAAGGAGAAACAAAATGCTCAGTCTAGCAGTTGGTCACCATCTGAATACCTAGAAACACTGATTCCAATTGATGCTTTATCTGTCACTTTCTATATAACATTCTACAAGCCCTCAAGTGCTCAGATTAACCTTTCTGTAGATTAGTGAATGCCTAAAGCAACGGAGAAGAGTTCAAAATAGGATGTAAATATTCAGAGCTATATTTACTATGTCCTCAAGGCAAGCCTTGTGCTCTGTTTTCTAATTATTTAAATCTGTTTAATGTTATCAAAAGCTGAAAGGATCTATATCCCATTGTCTACTAATATTGTGATTTACATATGAAAATTTCAATAAGCAACTGCTTTCTTTGCCACTGAATAATATGGGACTGTATAAGTTTTGTTATTCAAGTGTTTATGTATGGGAAGAAAAACAGTAATTTATATTTGGGAAAATATAAAAATACACAGATTACCTGGGACAGCTATTTTGGTAGCCCCTTATTTAAATATGATTTTTATAGTAAGGATTTTTATACACTGTGGAAGGGACAGCGATGAAAGAGAATATTCTTTTCCTAGTTAAGTTGCATATTTTAGTGCATAAACACAGGTTTAAAAAGAACATAAACTAACAATTCAAATATCTTTCATTATTTTATTCTGGTTCTAAGCTTGTATTTCACTTCAGAGTACAGAATTGTAAAAGATTATATTTTATGGCAGAGCTGCAGCATAAAGTTATTAATATGTTCATCTTCACAAGTAGTTGCTAAATCCAGTGAGTCATCCTTTCTAGCCTAATACTAGAAAGACACAAATTACACAAACCAAGATATCTGCACATTTCTGTCCCTTTTATTAGCTCTGTAAGTTGCTGCATTTTTGGAGTTTACTAGCCTTTGTGTAAGAGGACGGTAATTCATAATGTATTCTAGCTACACATGTTGCTGTTATACCTCTTTCAGCTTATTCTTTGAATGCATGTGCACTTTCTACCTTTGGCAGCACCCATTGTTATCCCTAATAAGTTTTAAGCCTGAAATAATTGCCATATTTGATGAACAGAATAGTAGTGTATAGCCCAGTTTTGGAATGAGGCACCTTGATGTCTTTACATAATTTGGACACACACAGAAAATCAACCTCAGAACATTTGAATCAGCAGTATACATAAGCATCCAAAAGCAACAGCTTCCACTTTTCTTACCTTATCCCTTTAAAAGGCTAGGCAGAGGACATTGTATTGAAAATAAGCTCCTCACCCTGGTTCTCAAATCTTGCATTTCCTCTGAATGTCTCTGGTTTGTGTCGCATTTTGCTTCCCCTGAAGCCGAGGTGTTTTCAGGGCAAGTTGTCTTCTTTCTCACTGCCACCCACACTCATCCCCACACCAGTGGGCAGCTCCTTCTGCTCCGAGGTCCTCCTGGCACCCAAGTCCCACTGCTGCTCCACACCCTTGCATACTTGTCCCAGGAGACTCATGTGTGGCTGGAGGCCCATTAACCAGGCATTCCCTGTAGAGGAATGGTGGCATGTACAGGCTGTCAGGCTCAAGAGAGAGAGAGAGGGAGAGGAAGAGGTGCTCTGAAAGCTCTAAGTGATAAAAACCTCTCTAAAATAATGTTCTCAGAGAAGCACTTCTCAATATTCCTCTTCATCTCTCTTGCTCTAACAAGGAATGCTTGTAATTGCAAATACTGAATATATTTTCAGATTAATATTTTAGATTGGTCCTTTGGTCCAAGAGACAATTTTATCTCTACTGCTACCGGAATGGAGGTTTTTTTATTGCACTTCATTAACTGCATCCCTGTGATATATTTATTTGCATGGCAGCTCACTCTTTCTCCAATTCTCTCTCCCTCCATTTCTCTCTCTCTCTCTCTCTCTCTCTCTCTTTTCCATCTCTACTGCTGCAGAGGATCAAGAGTCATCTAATATGAAATGTTCTCAGTCTTTAGTACAGAGCAAACTGGATGATTCTTAATTAGCTTTTAAAAATGCTTTGTAGATAAAACCACATTAATCCTCTGACCTTCAGCTCATACAAAAGCATTGTGTTAATTGTCCTGAAAAATAGATAATTCCATTGTTACAAATTCAGAGGTGTAACTTAAACAAACATAATCATCAGACACAAGGGTCTGGCACAGTCAGACTTCAAAACCTTTTACAAAAATCTATCCAGTGCTACTCTGGATAGAGAAGGAACTGCATCTCCAAATCCCCTTTAAGGGGCTTGCTACACCTCAGCAGATATACGCCTTTACCAAGCTCTCCCAAAGTTTGTCCTGGTGTTTGGGAAACATCAGCCAAGGGGGGACCAGTCTGCAATCTGGCTGAGAAAAGGGACCCTCTGTGTTAAAGCATTGGCGTCCAACCCTACATGAAAAGGAATGTACAGTGACTGGTGCTTTCAGGCACTATAGTTTACTTGCAGATTTTTTTCTTGATGGTCCCTTTCCCAGAGTCTGGAGCTTCCCTTCTCCTTCTTGAATAAACTTTCCTAGAAATTATATTCACACTAGCCTTTGTCTTTGTTGCAAACTCCTTTCCCACTTTATTTTGGTTCTCAAAACAAATCGCATAGGTAAAATGAGCTTATAAAGCAACAATGGCAGCCTGGATCATCACATCATTTCCTACCTAAAATTCTGCTTTAACTGTCATTAATTATCTTCCTGTTAGTCTTGCATTTTTTTTAGTAACAGATCTTATAACTGCTTTAGGAAGATAGTCGGTGTCTTTTTTCCACTTTCCAAATGGGAAATTCAGGTACAGAATGCAATCCAGGCCAGTAGTTCACATATTTATCTTCTGTTTATACATATCTTCTGAAAGCTAAACCAATGCTAGCTGGATTAAAGATCTCAAATTTTTCTACACTTTCACTATTTCCCTTGTGATAACCCAGACACATCAGACAATGCAACTAATGTCTAGGAAGAAAATGATTTTGTTAAAATCATAAAACCTTATCTAGTGTTCAAAAATCCCTTGGTTCTGACCTCAGTGACAAATATCTTAAGGCCACCACACTTAAATACATCCCTGAGCAGTTCTGGTATGCAGATCTACTTGTCCCAGATCAGGGATCTGACTACCATTTTGTTGTGTTGGTGTATGCATGCTCCCAACAGAGCGTAGAAGCCCCTACAAAGCAGCACTGGAGCCACTCCATAAATAAAGGAACTAGCTTGCAGTGGTTGCACACACATTTTTTGGATGCATCCAACACACAATCACAGAATCATTTGAGCTGGGAAAGACCTTTAAGATTATTGAGTCTGACTACTAATATAGCACTGCCAAGTCACACTAAACTGTATCCCCACACATTTGAAAATCTTTTAAATACCTTTGGAGCTGGTGACTCAACCATTTCCCTGGGCAGCCAGCTCCAGTGCTTGACCTCCCTTTTGGTGAAGAAATTTTTCACAATATCCAATCGAAACCTCCCCCAAACAGCTTGAGTTCATTCCCTCCTGTCCTATTGCTTGATAACTGGGAGAAGAGACCAACACCTACCCCACTGCAACCTCCTTTCAGGTAGTTATTGAGAGCAATAAGGTCCTACTTTGAGCCTCCTCTTCTCCACGTTAAACAACCCCAGCCACTCATCATAAGGTTTGTGGTCCAGACCCTTCACCAGCTCTGTCTCTCTTCTCTGGACACACTCCAGTACCTCAATGACTTTCTTGAAGTAAGGGGCCTAAAACTGAACAGAGTTTTTAAGGTAAGGTCTCAGCAATGCCAAGTACAGAGGGACAATCTCTTCCCTAGTCTTGCTGGCCACACTATTGCCAGTGCAGGTCAGGATACCATCAGCCTTCTTGGCCAGCTGGACACACGGCTGGCTTACTTTCAGATGGCTGTCAACCAACATCCCCACATACTTTACTGTCAGTCAGTTTTCCAGCCATTCTTCCAACAGCCTGTAGCACTGCATGGGGTTGTTGTGACCCGGGTGCAGGACCTGTCACTTGGCCTTGTTGAACCTCATACAATTGGCCTCAGCCATCAATTCAGTCTGCCCAAATCCCTCTCCAGAACTTTCCTGCTCTCCAGAAAATCAACACTCCTACCCAACTTGGTGTTGTCCAAAAAGTTGACTGAGGGGCACTTGATCCTTTCATCCAGATCATTGACAAAGATATTAATATGGTAAAGACATATCTATGACGCATGATACCGTGTCATATGTTTCACACCAGGCAGTGCTAGCAGAGGAGGGCAGTGGTGATGTCTCTCTTTAGATACCACAGCAAATCTTTGCCTCCTGAATAGGGAAAGTCTCTGGGGGCTTAAAATTACAGACACCGAGGTACATTTTAATTATGGCACTGTAACAACCGAGTGAAGTCTCTCTGCAGTCATGAAAGAAGCAAACTAAAAGTTTATCTTGGACATAAAAATGGAAAACAATATCTTAAGACTGCCACAAAACTGGGATAACCAGGTTATTAACTGGGCACTACTCTGTTGCCCAGTGAGATCAAGACAGCAAGAAACTCTGTCTTTAAGTCTGTCTTCTTGGAGAAAAAAGATTAGTAATAGGTAGAGAAGAGTGGAGGTGACCAGAAAAGAAGCAAATATGATGATCATGTACCAGCAAATTTTTGCATGGGTTGATCACAGATGCATTTTCTTAAAAGGGCAGTCCTTGTAATTTGAAAACAAACCCACAATGGTTTAGTAGGAAATGGAGGGCAAAGACCATTTTATACACCAATAGTATCTTCTTTGTTATTGCCCTCTACACAGGCAGGAAGAGAAAAGCCTTTGATCATTTTTAAATTTCTGGTCTGAACAGCAATTTAAAAAATGCATTTCACTTTGTGACTACTTTGTCTCAGATTCTACCTTTTCAGTCTTAAGTCTTCCATTATAATAAAAGAACCACTACTGACACCTGGTGGCAAATTATCTTTTTCTTTCAATCCTTATGCCTGAGGGGTTTTTTGTTGTTTGCTTTCAAATATGGCTATTTAAAAAGAGTTTGCTGAAGTAATGATGAACCTACTACTTACTCCCCATGCTGCTTATCCTACTGCTTTCATGGCTAGAAATATGTTAGAATGTCATCTAAATGTAACACTACTCTCAGAAGAATAATTTTGGAATGTAAATACTTTCAGTACAGCCAGAGAAGTAAAAATTAATTAAAATATACCTTATGACAAAAGTTATAATTAGGGAAAAAAACGTGCTTGGCTAACTCACTGATCTGGAGAAATAGATGCATATCACACTTCCTGAAAAGCTTTGGGTTGATCTAACTTCAATTGGGGATACAAGTGTTGATCCTAGGTTTTTCCTGATGAGCAAATGGGCTGCAGGAAGACATTTGTAGGAAGACATCTCTCAAGAACAGGGTTTGAAACTCCTCACTTTACCCTGCTCACTGCAAGGACTGTGTTTCCAGCTGAGTGTCTGACAACATCAAGCAGCCCATCTTGGGCACAGTGATGTGTCTCATGTTCCCTTGTGTGAGAGATGCCACATGACAGATGCCAGCAGATGGGAGGATGATGTGAGTTTCAGAGGAGGCCACAATGTAAGATCTGCAACAACCAGTGAGATGAAGACGCTGTCTCAATTTAGGTTGCTTACAAGGTAAAAAAGGGATTGTGAAATCAGAACAAGAGAACCCAAGATATTTTGAAAGTGGTTGGTCACATACACAAAATGAGACTTGTTTATTCACAAATTTTCTTTCTTATTAAAGAAATTCTGAGGAAAAGGTAAAAACTGAGTCACTTAGAAACTGGAGTGCATATATAGGTGCTATGACACGTTTTGGATTGACCAGATGTGTTTTCAGAATGGCTGCTACAGCAAGCAGAAAGTAGGAGTTTTGAGTGGTAGAACCTTGTCTGACTCTTTTTTTACATTTTTATTTTTAATGACGAAAAGACACTGTATTGAGCTGACCCTGGCCAGCTGCTAAATCCCGAGAGTCACTCATTCATTCCCCTCTTATCAACATGAAGGGGAGAACAGGAGCTTAACACAAAAATGTCAAAACTCATGGGTTGAGACAAAGACAGATTAATAAATAAAATAAAGAGGAGAAAAACAAATTATGTAATCTCTCACCACCTTGCCAAGCAGACCAATGCCCAGCCAGTGGAAGCAGAGGACACCCTTTCCCTGTTCTTCCTTTATTCTCAATTGTTACTGCTGAGCAAGGCATTACATGGTAGGGAGTACACCGCTGTATTTGGTGCATTCCCTACCATATAGTCCCTGTAATTTGTTTCAGATGTTCCAGCTGTGTCATCTCCCAACCTTTTCCCAGCTCCCAGTATGCACAGGCAGAATGGGAAAGAGAAAAAGCTCTGATGCTGTGCAAGCACTTCTTGGCAATAGCCAAAACTCAAGCTTGCTAACAAATCTAACAAATGTCTGAGTAACAAATTTAAACCACAGCATCATACAGACTGTTATGAAG